AGTCGCAACAGTTTTCTGCAGAAAGCTCCTGTTTTTGCTTTCTACACTTCTGACTGTTACTATAATAATTCAATTTTTGATTTAAATATTAGATGCCAATTGGCTCAATAAAAAATGTACGTTTTATTTCATTGCACAACATTTTGTTTAAAATATATGTTTATTTTTATACTCCTGTCAAATTTCTTAACCTATGAAACTAGCCATCGATAGAGCGTTCGCCTTTCAATGAGGTGAACCGGGGTTCGATCCCAGCGATGACTGGTTGATAAGAATTCCACATCCTGCTTGCACCGACCACCGTGCTGACGTGAAATATCCTCAGTGGTAGACGGATCATGGGTAGGAGTCCCCTTGCCGTCAGGCTAACCGTTGGAGGGGCTCGTGGTCTTCCTCACAATGTAACGCAAATGCGGGAAAGTTCATTCAAAAGTCCTCAACGAAGGCAAATTTCTCCTAATACTTGATCCAAGAGTTCCCTTGTCTTCTGGAGTGGGTTCAAAATTACAAGGCTACGGAGTTGAACATTAGTAGTTGTTCAACGACGGTTATAAAAAAACCTATAAAACTACGCAACGTAATATTTTTCTAACAATTTATTTCCTCTAATTTAACTTTTAGTTCAAATTTTAAATTTTTTAAGATGTGATTTTTGTTACTTTTTGTATTTTTTTAGTAAACGAAATTTGAAATTGAGATATTTGCTTATGTAACTGCTCTCAAGAAAATATAATATAAAGAAAGCATCTCATTAAAATATAATTATGATGGAAACTTTTATCGAATATTCAGCTTCCTTAATAATAAAACAAAATTCTTTTGTATAAAACTGACTCAACTTTAGTTTTCAATAAAATAGTGTTTTTCATTTATATAAATGAACCTAAATCTAAAACACATATTTTTTTAACATTTTTGTAAGTTATATTCTGTTCTTCATACATTTGACATGATGAAGATTTTGCTCTGGTCGACGATCAAATTTTTATTTAATCTAAAACTTTATGTACACTTACAAGTAAAAAAGGAAATGAAATGTTTCATATTCGACTATTCAAACAAAACTCAAGACAATTATAATTAAATACGGATATTTCTTGCATTTTTTTCAAGGGTTATTTCTTCCAAGAAATTGTTAGGACCACTATCTATAAATATAGAGGAGGGTTTAGAAAAAATCAAATAATAAAGAACTAAATAGAATGGAATCGACGAAATATTTTATATAAGTCTAATTCATCAAATATAAAGATAAGTATAATTAAATATGGATACTTATCATAGTTTTGCAAAAAAAAATTCTAGGAAACACTTAAGACCAGAATCAATTTAGAAAAACGATGGTTCTGAAAATATGCATTTCATTAAATATACAAATATGTGCACAAAAATATGTCTGTTAAATTTATTTAATTCTTTCATTAAATCGTGAATATATCTTGCTAAATTATGTAACTTTTTTTTATTAATTTAACTTTAAATTTTATCGAGAAAAAACTACTTGCTTTGAAAAATTGCTTTAATAACTAAATTTTCAGTTGCTAATGAAAAATATTTTAGTGGTTGAATTTTTAAAAAGCACTTTACAGACCCACGATTTGAATAAAAAAGGAAAATGGTTTATGCTTTGATTAAAGATGAAAAGTACTTCATGCCCTGAAATTCTAGTTTCCGAACAAAACTGCTTTAATTAGCTAATTCTTGACTGCAAAGGAAATGCACAAAGTATTCTTAATGTATGATGGGAAAGAGAAATGTATTCAGTTTAGAAACAAATATAAGACGCATATTTATATACCAAATTGGATATACCAAACCAAATAAAACAATGAACCCAAGCATTCCTTCATTGTGTTACAAAATTATCTAGCTTTTATTATCACCAGCTGAGTTATTCACTGGGACTTAATTTTTATTTCAAAATTGAAAAAGAAATAAGTGAAAGATTCCATCACCCTGTGTTTTCGGTCAATATATATATTTTTTCGTTAGCTTCTCTTTTGACTGTTCATCGTTTTTACACTTAAAATGTATTTTACCTCATTTTTTTCGTAAAAAATTTAGCTATTTATTCCCGGAATTTGCGCAAATTATTTTTAAAAAAATAGGCACCATTGGTAGCTCAATATTAACCCTATAGTAAAATTTGTATGTCTTTTTAGTTATTCCTCACAAATTGATACTTATATAAGCACACATGCCATGCATAATGAAAAAATCAAAATGCAAAAAAAAAATAGTTACACTTTCTCAATTAAGTAAATACCTAAAAAACTATTTTGTCAACTAATTTAATTTTTCAAAAGTTATCCTTTTGCGAAGTTATAATGGCGTAATCGTTTCAAAAAATATAATGTCATCTCTTCATTAGAAATACTAATAAAGCAATTTATCGAAAAAAATCATCTGTTCTGCAAATTTGCCTGAATTAAAAATATTTTTCAGTCTCTAGAACCTTATAAAAAAAGTTGCTTTATGCTTTAACATTAAATTTGACTCTTGAAGAGTTTCATAAGTTACTTAAAAAAATAAAAGTTATAGAGAGATATATTCAAGCCACCTCTCTGATCGCATTCAATCAATTTGCTCGATTTTTTCTCTGAAGCTGCCTAATCTTAAAAGTCCTATTTTCTTTCAATAGATCTCAACTGCTAAGTACTGTTGTTTTCGCTTATGACAGGATATAATATTAATTTAATAAAATAATATTAATTTAATTGCATAAATATTAATTTAATTAAATAATATTAATTTAATTACAAAGATTCTGTGACTTTACAGTAAATATTACCGTAATTTGATCCGGTTGTTTTTACAGTGTGTTTAAAAATCCAATCTTTAGATAAAAAGTTTCAAAAGGTGTGCTGATTTTTATTTTGTGCAGTATACATGGAGTTTGCTGTTGTTATTTTTTATGTTACTTGCCAACCAGCAAGACTGCTTAGTAAAATCCAGCAAATTTAAGGCATAGGGTGCGTTTCTTGTTTTTCAGTGGCGCCTTCTATGGCCAAGAATACGACTTTAACGACACACACGTCACCGTCCCGTTTTATAGGGCGGATCCATTCATTTATCCATTTATTCATCCACATATCGTAATTTTGATCTCATTCAGAAAACGATCAATCTCCAATTCAGTACCGTCAGAGGTATTGATTTGTTATGAGAACATGTGGGACTTTGTGACCAGACAAATTTAGCGTGCGCCAGTCACCAATTACTACACGAAGAGTCTTTGGCAGAGGGGGATCAAACTCACGTTCTCTTGGACACAGGCCCAACCTAACGTCCTGCCAACCAGGCCAAAGAGAGTCTTCATCAAACTATTAAATAAGAATTTTTTATTTTTATTTTGGACGTTGATGATTAGCTTTGTATATTTTTGGATGATTTTTGAAAGATTCGTAAAATACAACATAGAAGTTTAGTGTATTTTTATCTAAGAAATTGGAAAAGCTAACAGGCTGGATTTTTTTAGAAAAAAAAAGCTTACCTTTTTTAATTTTTTCCTGATAACACCTATATTCTATATTTTAAACTGATCTAAAGTTCATTTTCTTTAACACTTGTCGAATTGCCAAAATTATTTTTATTAAAAGTACTTAAAAACCGTGTTCTTTGCCAAGTACTTTGTAAAAATGTGGTCTTTCTTAAGTCAGGATTTGACAAAAATATATCAAGGGTAAAATTTATCAAATAATTTATTTACCACCCATTTACTTTAAAAATAGAAATCGCAACAGTTTAAATACTTTTGCATTTTTTCATTAATATTTTCGGAGTCATTAAATGTATCTTAAATAGAAAGAATCTTTAATAGCTTAGAGTTACAAACCGAAATGGAAAAAGTAACAATTCGATGGTTTTTCTTCTAATTAAGCGACGACATCCAAAGCGTGAAAAACTTTTCAATTTTTCGACGACTTCTTATCAGTTCAGAATTGAAAAGTCTTGATTGATTCCTTTGTGATTGCAATCATTTTGAAGCAGCATCAAGACACATTAGAGTGCCCATTTACGAACAGAAGCTGTCAACAAGTAAGCTTTTAAGTCCCCTCTTTAGATAAACTCTAAAGGGTTCATTGTAGACCTCGCCAAAACTTCAGCTGTCAAGATTTTTTTATGAAACCATTTTTCATTATTAATTTTGCCTTGCAATTGTTATCTTCGCATCTCCAATAAATTGTGTTGCCCTTATATTTTTGATATATATTGTAGTGATAATTTTTGTAAAGCAAGAGATTAACATTTATGGAAGATTTTATATATTTTAACTCAGATATTTTCGAAAATGACTAAAAAAACGGTGAACGGTATATGTTAAGGAGAGCATAAGTAAACGATGGTAAGGGGAAAATGTTTTTCCTTTTCAAGTTGTTTTCCTGGAAAAAAGGATTCTGTCCCCTATATAAAATCCCTCTATGGAAATAGTACCCTCCCCCTACAAACGGACCCTCGGTGCCACAGGTGCACATCATTAATTATCTTTTAGGTCTGAAATGGGTTAGTCAGTCCCGCAGTGGACTGATCGCTAAGACACGGTTCTCAGCAGATCACCGAAGTCAAGCATCACTGGCTATGGTCAGTGTGCGGGTGGGTGACCACTTGGATCAGTTTGCGTAGGGACCGAGGGTGTGCGGTATTGGTCCTCGTTAATCTGTGCTACCGTAAAGTGCTCGACTTCGCGCGCAGGTCGTCGGACTACCGAAGCGGGGATGCCATCCCCTCCGCAGAGGATCAAAATTGTGATGGCATGTCTTCGGATCATCCTCCGGGATGTTTCCCAGACCGTCGCCAATAGCCCATTGTGCAGCTCTAGTGTGACGTAAATTAACAACAACAACTGAAATGGGTTAGGTGAAAAGAAGGGGACACCGTATAGAATAGACTCCGGGGAATAGTGACGTCACCGTTCGCGTTCGAATTCTGCGAGGTTTGGGGTCATGATGAAAGGAGGGTGAAGGGCAAAAGGCATGGAACCGGTCTTCTCCCCAGATGGCGTCTTTGAGCGCTGCGCATCGCACATAAAGTCAGCCATTCATTGTATGGAATCTGCTATCTATTTAGCCTCGAATAAGGCTTCGAAGAAATCCTTATTAATGAATATAGCAAGCTATAAGCTGAAAAAAAGATCTCTTCTCATTATACATCACTCATGAACTAGTCAATCATTCCAATTTAATAATCGAAGCATTGATGTAGATGAGTTAGAAAATCCTTTATCCGAATATGAAAAAATGTGTTCTAAATTTGAATATCATGTTAAACAGAAATTCTTGCTTTAATATTTGTGAAATATATTAATTGATTTTAGATTGTTTATGCTAAGAAACTAACACAATGTTTGTTGAATAGACATTGGCAATGTATGAAAGAAAATACTTCAAAGCAATAAATGACAAAAAGTGTTTTTAAATAATGTAAAAGCTTAATTTCTATAAACTGTTGACCTGTTACAGATCTTGTTCGTATAAGTCTACAAATACTGACATTATCATTGCAAATATTATTTAGAGTTTCCTTGTACTCGCGACTATGCATTTAAAACTTTGGTGCAAAAGTTATTTCGGCAGTTTGTGTTAAAGTGTATAAATTTGTAAACAGTCTCTGAAAATCTCTTCATAATGTTTATGTGAAAAGTGTGTAACTTATGAAATATGAGTTTTCATGGAAAAGTAATCTAACAGTCAGACTTATACTGGTTAATAACTTGACTCTTGTAATATACGTAATAAGAGTTTTTCACCAAGAAGTAATGTGACTGAATACAGTCATGTTCATACTGCTGTGAAGCCTCATTCCTGTAGCATATGCAATAACAGTTTTTCCCATAGAAGTTACATGACTAAACGAAATCGTGTTCAAATGGGTGATAAACCTTTTTCGTGTAGTATATGTAATAAGAGTTTTTCACAAAGAATTAATCTAACTATGCACAATCGTGTTCATACTGGTGAGAAACCTTTTTCTTGTAGTATATGTAATAAAAGTTTTTCAAACAGAATTAATCTGACTCATCACAGTTATGTTCATACTGGGGAGAAACCTTATCCTTGTAGTTTATGTAATAAGAGTTTTTCACAAAGAATTAATCTAACTATACACACTCGTGTTCACACTGGTGAGAAGCCTTTTTCTTGCAGTATATGTAATAAAAGTTTTTCAAACAGAAGTAATCTGACTCATCACAGTTATGTTCATAATGGGGAGAAACCTTATTCTTGTAGTATATGTAATAAGAGTTTTTCACAAAGAATTAATTTAACTATACACACTCGTGTTCACACTGGTGAGAAGCCTTTTTCTTGTAGTATATGTAATAAAAGTTTTTCAAACAGAAGTAATCTGACTCATCACAGTTATGTTCACACTGGTGAGAAACCTTTTTCTTGTAGTATATGTAATAAGATTTTTTCAAACAGAAGTGAACTGACTAAACACAGTTATGTTCATACTGGTGAGAAACCTTATTCTTGTAGTACAGTGGAGCATCGTTTATACGACGATCACTTATACGACGTTTTAGTGTGGTCCCAAATCATTCCTATTCATTTTAATGTAAAAATATATCGTTTATACGACGCACAGAATCGGTTATACGTCGGCTTTTAGATTTTGTTCACGTTTATTAAATTTTTTATTTTTTTGCGTATTTTAAAAAAGGGCGGAATTTGCCAACATGAATGATACAGAATAGGGTGCCAACAAGAATGCTTGGATGACGACCGTAATTTTCACTGGATGACTGAAAAAACTAGACAATGTTATGAAGAGGCAAAAATGAAAAATTTTGCTATTCATCGACCAATGTCCAGCGCACCCATCGGATACTAATTATTTCGGAAAATGTAACAGTTCTCTTTTTTTCTGCAAATTGCACAAGTGCGCTTCAGCCATAATTTTGGCCGTGATTAGAAATCTAAAATTGCATCTAGAAAACAGTAAGTTCAACTCGCTATTCAAAGCATTGTAGAGACTAATCGCAAGAAAATAAAATTAAAGGTAACATACATTCAAATTGCAGTTTTCTTTCTTGGTTATTTGTTTGTTTTGCTTTGTCTAATTTAGAAATTTACGTAAATCAACACGTTAAACATTAAAATAAACTGAAAACAGAGTTAGTTTCAGTTTTAGGAATGAAAATCGATTATACGACGTTATCGTTTATACGACGTTTTTCGGTGGTCCCTACGGCGTCGTATAAACGATGCTCCACTGTATATGTAATAAGAGTTTTTCACAAAGAATTAATCTAACTATACACAACCGTGTTCATACTGGTGAAAAACCTTTTTCTTGTAGTATATGTAATAAAAGTTTTTCACAAAGAAGTTGTCTGTCAAGACACAGTTATGTTCATACTGGGAAGAAACCTTATTCTTGTAGTATATGTAATAAGAGTTTTTCACAAAGAATTAATCTAATTGTACACACTCGTGTTCACACTGGTGAGAAACCTTTTTCCTGTAGTATATGTAATAAGAGTTTTTCAAACAGAAGTGATCTGACTAAACACAGTTATGTTCATACTGGTGAGAAACCTTATTCTTGTAATATATGTAACAAGAGTTTTTTACATAGACATGAATTGACTGAACACGATCGAGTTCACACTGGTGAGAAACCTTTTTCCTGTAGTATATGTAATAAGAGTTTTTCAAACAGAAGTGATCTGACTAAACACAGTTATGTTCATACTGGGAAGAAACCTTATTCTTGTAGTATATGTAATAAGAGTTTTTCACAAAGAATTAATCTAATTGTACACACTCGTATTCACACTGGTGAGAAACCTTTTTCCTGTAGTATATGTAATAAGAGTTTTTCAAACAGAAGTGATCTAACCAAACACAGTCGTGTTCATACTGGTGAGAAACCATTTTCCTGCAGTATATGTAATAAGAGTTTTTCACAAAGAAGTAGTCTAACTGAACACTATCGTGTTCACACTGGTGAGAAACCTTATTCTTGTAGTATATGCAATAAAAAATTTTCATATAGAAATTGTCTGACCGAGCATTTTCGTGTTCATACTAGTGAGAAACCTGATTCTTGTTGTTAATTCTTAGAGTTTATCTCTATAAAGGAATTTTATGCTCATTGTTCTGTTCATACTACCGACTAACTTTTTTTTTTGTAAGATTATTCACATAATGTTTAAATACTACCATAACTTGTATATAAGTATAATATTATGTTCATAAGGATAGTATAACCTGATAAATAAACCTGTTCATGAGTATTATTGTATTGTTTTTGTTCCAAATTAGACAATTAAGGGTAATATTAACTTTTGGCAATAAGTAGCATGCAACACCCCTCATATTTCCAAGTAAGGATTGCCAATTTACCCACCCCCCACACTGTAATAGAAAATTAGTAATAAAGGATGTTTTGATTAATTATTTTTATTTTTTATGTTATTTTATTTAGCGGGTCTCAATGTTGATTTATGTAAATAAATAAGGAAATGTTAAGTTTTTCCTTCTGATTCCTTACTTTTGAAGTGCGTAAGCTTCAAATCATTAAACATGATTTTTCCATCTAAAGCATGATTTTTTTTCCAACCTGAACAAGTATATAATCTCTAAATCATTATTTTTAAAGTGTGAGAATTATTTATTTAATTAATATTTAATAATTAAATTTATTTTTTATTTAATTAATTATTTTCTATATAATTATTTTTTTCAATAATTATAATTATATAATAATTATAATTATTATATAAAAAGATATTTATCATTATTATTATGAAAAAATATATTTATTATTATTATTGTTATAAAAAAATATATTTATTATTATAAAAAAATATATTTTTTTTTTAAAAATATATAAATTATAAAAATAATTATAATTATTTTTTATATAATTAAATTTAATTTATTATTTAATAATTAGATTTAATTATTATTTAATAAGTATTATTTAATTACAGTTATTTTTTTAATAATTAAATTTAATTTTTAATATTAATTACATTAATTGGGATTACCTGTTATTAAATTGTCATAACTGCTTTTTGTTGCTATTTATTAGTCATAACTAATATGCATTCAAAGTTAAATCAGACATATTAGTTATGATTGTGAATTAACTGTGAAAGCATATTAGTTATAATCAATTAATAGCAAAGTAAATAAAGAAATGCATTTAGACTGTGCGATTTATATCATAAATTTGTAAGAATTAAATAAAATATTTGAAATATTTAAGGTCACAAGAAGTATATTTTGCAATTTCTGAAAAATTTGTGAATTCTACCTATATTTCTGTTTTATTTATTTATTTATTTTTTTTTTTGCTCTAAGTAATGTCATTTTTTAAACCACTTATATTTAAATAATGTAAACTTGATGAAATATTTTTCAATTCTGTATAATTTTTTTAATAGCACCAAAATTACAACTGTTGAAAAAAATAATGAAATGAAAAAAGTATAATGAGTGAGCTTAATTATAAAGATATGTGATTGTCATCAGTTATGTACTTTTAAAAAAAAAGACATTAAAAGGAGTCTCGTTATTACTTAGTTATTCTGTACCATAGCTAATAGTTTTTTCTAATCCTAATAAAAGGAGGGAAGAAACTAGTTTTTTTTAAAAAATAAACATTTCTAGGAAGTTCAAAAAATAAAATTCTATATTCAGTGAATACTGTTTACAGAATCTTTCATTATTAACCAAGTTCTATTTTAATTTATGAAAGAAAAATTTTTCATCATAATGAATTTGTGTACAATTCATGAAGTCATTAAGTTTCCCCTAATTCTTAAAAAGGTCTTAAATCAGAGATCATAATCAATAAATAAACATAAAAGAATCCTTAAAAAAAGTGGAATATATATCAAGTCAACTGATGTCCTCAACCACAGCTAAAAATCGCTTCAAAGCCAGTACTGAGGATAAAGGCTTACAAAATTTGGCTTTTATCGCTAATTACACCAGGCTGCGGCATTAAAATTTCGTCGTTAGCGCATGCGCATTTCACGCAGCTGGTGTGCTGGGAAACACGAATAACATGAAAAACAATATTTGTGTTAAAGCTTATCTTATTAATAGCGTTTTTGATCCAATGATCGAATCTCACGTTCTAAGACTCAATGGTTTGAAAGTGTATGCTCAAATATGCTAATTATAAAGTACGTCTAACTATAAAGAATTATTAAAATATCGTCTGCACTTTTGTGCAGACGATATTTTAAGACGTACTTTCTCTGAATAGACAAACCTTTTTTTCGACTCATATGGATTTCTGTAACACAACATATGGATGGGTGATCGTGTAAGGCTAAGGGTGGGGGCACTAGTGGTTAAATTGCTCTCGCAAGACTTCCGGGTTACTGCTTCCGATATATTTTTACGCCGCAGATTGAAAAAACGCGCCATCATATTATTGCATCATATCTTTTGCAGTATTTCACATGTACCGAGTTCTTTCTTTCAGCCTTTAAACTTCAGCATTATAATATTAATATTATAATCATTAGAATATTTTCTAATTAGGCTAACTTAAAAAGATATTTTTTGGCGACATTTTATTCTAATGTAGCCAAATAAGGGATAAAATACAACACATGGCAAACCTTAAGAATTATTCACAATGAAATACAAACTTTCAAAAAAATTTTTTGGCTTTATGACCTCTGAGAATCAATACATTTCTGAAAGCTCTTATGAATGGTACAATTATTTTTAGATTTGAACCCAAATTACGTTAACAAAACTGCATAGAATATTAGGCTTGTTCACACATCGCCTCGTAGTCATAACATAAGCGGAGGGATACACCGGAAATTTTCTAAATTTCTTCCGGTTGAAGGACGCTTGTTATTGTTTACATTAGGCCACCCATCCATAAGGGGTTGCCAACATCTGGGAAATACGGTCACAATAATTTGGCTATCCGAAGTTTAAACCGTTTAATGTTCATTTTTTTTTTTTTTTTTGTGCGTGTTTTGCCATATCTCGGGAACTTTTTAATCGAATCGGAAAATTTTAGCAGGCAATTGTAAAATTCATTTCTCTAAAAATAGTTCCATTCAAAAAGTGACTTTTAGTAAATATTTATTTAATAATAGTCTTAAAAAAATTTAATTGTTGGGTAAAACATTTTTTATATCGAATTTCACATGGCAAAATTTGAGCCAAATCTGTTGAATAGTTCTTGAGAAATAGAATTTTAAGGAAGTTGTATATTTAAAACTCGATCAGACATAAAAACTTACATATTCTGGATAAACATATATATTTCTTTTTACATATTTAGATTCTTCACCTTCAAAATATAGGGGGTAACTGCAATCTGGAAATTGTGACTGTAGCAGTTTAGTCAGGAGTGCGGATGAAAATGTGATACCCTTAATATTAACTTCACTATTGGAAATTAATGATAATACTAATGTGACTGACTTTACTATTGTGGCTGCCCCTTATACTTTGGGGGTCAGAAAATTCTGAATTTGTCGAAAAGAAGGTATGTTTACTCAGAGAAAGTACGTTTCAGATGATTATTAACGAAGTGCCATTTTTCGAGATTTCAATTTGCAAAAATTCTGATAGAACACAAAATGGAGTAATATAATTTTCCACGTGTTCCCTAAAGTAAATGAACAACTATGTAAGAATGGCTTCAATGTTGCAAAAGAAATGACCCAGTTAATATAAGATATGCAGTAATCATTTCCTGAAAAAAGATTATGAAGATGATATGAGAAATCGTTTGCTTAGATTGCTAATTAGAATGATTTTGAAATCTGCTGCAATAACGAGAGTAAATTTTCAATTTTATTCTTTAGAAACAAGTTCTTCTCGGTAAGAAAGATTGAATAAACTCAAAGTGTTGGCTCGTGCATTGGACAAATTAAAAATTCTATGCCCAAAGCAAAGCTATTTAAATACTATGAATGAAAATTTTTTAAGTACATCAAACTGTGATAAATGATACAAATTAGAAGCAGAATTTAAAGTTCTGAAAGGAAGATAAAATTGAAACTTGAGATTTAGAGCTCTGAAAGAAAGAGAAAATTGAAACTTGAGAAAAGGATTACAAAAATAAGGAAGAAATAAAGTTTAAAACATATCAGTTCATCACAAGAAACAGTGGATCGCATCCAGAAAAAAATTCTGAGAAAAAAAAATTATGAGTAAAGAAGGGAATTGTTGAAAGTAGAACAAGCTTAAATAATAAAATGATATAAATAATTAATAGTTAAAAATTTTCTAAGTTCCTAACATATTCTTAAATGTAGTTATTCTAAATATTTATGTTCTTTTTTTTCAATTATATTCTCTTAAATTTAAGTAAGCAATTGTAAAATTTCTAATATTATTATGAATTTGAATTATTATTTTGTTCCAGTAGTTAGCGTTTAAGATTGTTGTTTCCTAATGATTGAGAATCAACAAATTGCCATCACCAGCATATTTTATAATCAGAATTCTAAATTTAACCCAACTTTACAAATTATTGTTATCGAACAATATGTAGCTAAAGAGTGTCGATTTATGCTTTAGTTTTTATTAATAATAAAAGTTAAAATTGAAAACTTTAAAATAAAGTATTTATAGCGTCCTTTACGACAACTGTAAAATATTTTTATTAGTTTAAAATGGTATTTTTTATTTATATTATATTCAAGAAAAAATTTTTGAATTATGTTTTTGAATGGAAATAATGTGTTAATTGTGTAAAGTTTGAAAGCTAATATCAAGAAGCGATCAAACTTATTTTTACAGAGGGAATGATACATAGTTTTGATAATTTCTTTACTTGCGATCTCCGAGATCTGTGTGCGGTTTTACGTCATGAGGAGAGAAATCGCAGCTTCAGCTCTCAGAGAGGATAATGAACCAGCCCTTTTCTTTTCTTTAGCCCTGGCAGATTTGAGGATCAAAAGTTTCTGACGGTATAAATATCTTATCTAGATATGCAAGAGTTCAAATATCAACCAGACCATTTTGGAAACGATCTGTCAACCTCTGAAAAGTTGCAGAGGCATTTTTTAGTCAAATACTTAAATGAAAAAAAAAAAATTTAAAAAGTAGTTTTTAATACTTTTAGGATGAAAAAATTCAAACTGCAATATTTTTGCTTTATTGAAAAAAAGTTTTTAGTACAAATATTTTCGTGACAATTTACGAAAAATTCTGACACAAGGTTTATGTAAGGTAACATGCTTTCTGGAAGAGTCTGAGGGAGATTCACATTTTTGAAATAAGTCAACACTCTATTTCTTGCTTTAAAATTTCCTTTTTAGCTGGTTGAAGCATTAAAGAAGTCAATGGAAATAAAAATTTGACCACCGAAGCCGACGTTTTCTAGGGTTACAGTCCTCGGAAGCCATAAATTAAAACCTTTTATTTATTTTATTGAAATTACATACATTTGCTGACTTGTGTGCTCAATATAGGCTTATAAGTCATTGTCAAGTAGAAAATACAGATAGAACAATTCAGAGAAAGACATCACAAAGAATACATCCAGGGTTACGGCGGGATTCGAACCCGCTACCTCCACGCTTAACAGAGCGTTTGGACCGGCGATACCGCTCGGCCAGGGAGGCCCCATATAACCTTTTCTTGTTGTTGTTGTTGTTGTTAATTTACGTCGCACTAGAGCTGCACAATGGGCTATTGGCGACGGTCTGGGAAACATCCCGGAGGGTGATCCGAAGACATGCCATCACAATTTTGATCCTCTGCGGAGGGGATGGCACCCCCGCTTCGGTAGCTCGACGACCTGCGCGCGAAGTCGAGCACTTTACGGTAGCACAGTTTAACGAGGACCAATACCGCACACCCTCGGTCCCTACGCAGGCTGATCCAAGTGGTCACCCACCCGCACACTGACCGCAGCCAGTGATGCTTGACTTCGGTGATCTGCTGGGAACCGTTATAACCTTTTCTATTGAGAGAGAGGACAATTGCCAGATTTACTCACTCAGTACCCCGAAAGTTTTGTAGAAGTCCAGGAAAAATACATAAAAAACAAATCAGAAAAGAAATATCAACAAAAATTTGAGAAAATAAAAACTCACATTAAACCGGTCAAACAGCGATTTCATAAACAAACTAAATGCAAAAGAAACTCTAAATCAAAAGAAGCCGGTGTCATTCTGTAAGGTAGCACACAAATGGGAAGACGATTTACCGTATCTATTCTATGTTCTATACACGGTGTTGTTTCTTCCTCTGGACAGAAGCTTTTCCAAGTAGTACATTAAGTTGGTTCCTCTTTTGCAGTAAAAGGTAGGTTCCATCATTCTTCACATAACGGACAAGGATTGGGTACATTTTATACTGCTAAAAGAGCATTGAGGTGTGTCTATAAAGTTATATCTTTGCTAAGAGGATTCAGAAAAATACCAGTTTCTTTTATTGAGATCCAGTACGATACCAACAGCAATTAAAAAGTCCACGCCAAGATTAGTTCGATAGCCCTTGACGTTTTTTAACACTATCAGTTCAGTTACGCAACTTTACCTTACAAGCTTTTGTCCACATTTGTGGTGAGAATGTTTTTTGAAGAACTCCATCTGCCAAAGTCATATAAATTGTTTTAGATTCAAAATTAGGACCCATTTTGTTTAAGGTAATTACATATTTTTCCACCTGCCAAAGAGTGTGCAGTGTCGGCACATACAGCCGCTCTATTGTGGCAAATTGAAATTTCAATACTGCTTGTGGGATTTTCTTCCATGGAAAAACTATAAAAATATTAAAATTTGCATCTTTTCAGTCCTGAGCGTTGTTGTAAAATTTAATTTTATGTTTAATATAGCCATATAGTTGGATATATCCTCAATTTTGAGGTCCTTTTTTAAAACGTTGCTGTTTATTGCCCGAGGGGCACCTAGCATAGTTCGAATAAGTTTCCCTTCAAAATTTAAAAGTTTCTTTTTCAAGTTGTTTTGCCATAGTCGAGACTGCAGGGCAGGCATAGGTTAATATGAGCCTAATGACTTGCAGATAGATTGATCCAGTACGATACCAACAGCAATTAAAAAGTGCAAGCCAAGATTAGTTCGATAGCCCTTGACGTTTTTTTAACACTATTCAGTTCAGTTACATAACTTTACAAGCTTTTGTCCACATTTGTGGTCGTGAGAATGTTTTTTGAAGAACTCCATCTGCCAAAGTCATATAAATTGTTTTAGATTTAAAGTTAGGATCCATTTTGTTTAAGGTAATTATATATTTTATCACCTGCCAAAGAGTGTACAGTGTCGGATTGTTCTTTTGTGCAGATTGCCAAAGAGTGTGCAGATTGTTCTTTTGTTAGATAGACTTAGTTTGGATGGCATATAGTGCAAAAAATGCACCTCTGCCTCTTTTAATTATATCATCTATATGTTTGTTCCAGCCTAAGTTGGGAGAGATAATAATGCCTAGATATTTGACTTGCTTGGTTCGCAAAGCCTTTGATCTTTGGCAGGCCGTCGGGGGGGGGGTGTTGTTCTAAGGAAAATTACGCCATTAAATTCAGTGTAGGGGCAAAGCGGCAGGCACGCAGAGTGGTAGGTAAGCTCTCACCCTTATTATCCATGAGGGAATTAATTATCGACTATGTCAACCTTCATCTATCAAAAGGTACCTCCTGATAGAATCAAGTTAACATGTCTTATATAGTAGTGATTTGGTATTTAATATTTATAGTGGTAGTTACGCCACATAGTCTTCAAACTTTCACGTAAATGCTAACACAACGTTAACTTGCGAACTAGTTTGCTCCAATTTAGTTGATAGTTCAGCTCTCCTAGTATAGTAGCCTTAGGGTAGATAGGTACTTAATTTACGTAGCTCTAGAGCTTCCCGATGGGTTATTGGCGACAGTCTGGGAAACATCTCTGAGGATGATCCTAACACGTGCCATCACAATTTTGATCCTCTGCAGGAGGGTGGCTCCTTTGCTTTAGTAGCCCGACGACCTGAGCCAGAAGTGAAACATTTTACGGTAGAACGAGGACCGATACATCTCACCCTCGATCCTTACGCAGTTTGATTAAAATAGGTGCTCACCCCTTACTAATAGCAGCCAGTAATGTTTGGCTTCGGTATTCTATTGGGAATCATGTCTTTACGATCAGTCTGTTACTGTTACTGCTGTTAATTTACATCGCACTAGAGCTTCACAATGGGCTATTGGCGACGGTCTGGGAAACATCCCGGAGGATGATCCGAAGACATGCCATCACAATTTTGATCCTCTGCGGAGGGGATTGCACCCCCGCTTCGGTAGCCCTACGACCTGCGCGCGAAGTTGAGCACTCCACGGTAACACAGTTTTAACGAGAACCAATACCGCACACCCTCGGTCCCTACGCAGACTGATCCAAGTGGTCACCCACCCGCACACTGACCGTAGCCAGTGATGCTTGACTTCGGTGATCTGCTGGGAACCGTGTCTTAATGATCAGTCCACTGCGGGACTACGATCAGTCTACTTCGGGACTTATTCTAGGATAATTACATATAGTGCGAATGCTCTCTATTTAATAAACGGGGTTCTCATTCGCCTCTCATAATTCTCATATGCGAATTTCTTGCAATGCGGATAGTAACTGGGAGTGCTCACACATGAAATGCAACTACGTATGCAAATTACATGCAGTAGAAATGCTCCTAATGGTAAATCAGGTGAATCAGCCGAATTCATTGGGATTTACAAAGTGCAAAAGTAGGCAGCTCAGAACTTTATATTTAAAATCAATATATCAATCAGCCACCACCAATTTTGTTTTTGATTGTTGTGTCATGTTTTGAAATTTGATAAACTCATTTAATTTTGTTTAATTTATATGAATTTTAGTTTGACTAAAAATTAATTATAAAGACAATGTCTTCTTGTGAGCAACTTCTCGCCCGTGAGTATATTCTGAAGGTGTTGCTAATTTACGATGTAAATCTATTTTATACGTGAATATTAAAAGCACGAAAATTAAAATATCTAAATGTTCACTTTATTTTAATGTAAACACAAGTTCAATGTCAGTGAATTATTCAAGATGTTATTATAACAAAAATATTATCCATACATGGCATGAAATTTAAAGATACGCATTGACATATGTGCAATGCTGAGATACAAATTATTAAAAAACCCGTACTCGATACGCTTAAAATATTTCTATCATCCTATCGATGCACATAAAAAATATTACTATCACGTATTTTTCATTCAATTTCTTAATATCTGTGAGCAACATTTTAGATTGTTATAATTTTAAAATTAATAAATTATAATAAATCATTTTTTTCCATTGCAAGACATTGATCATAAATACAAACTCAAGCTTGTTTAACGTACATGAAGATCAGTTTGAATGTTAAGAAAGGATAAATGAGTCCTCCTCAAAGATATGAAATATTAGTTGCTTAATTTGAATTAATTTTGAAGTTTATAAATTTTAAGAAATGTACTAGTTTTCTCTGCATGTACAATTTATGATGCATGTGCGTTTTATACCAAAGGGAAGTTTATCAAAATTTTCACTGATATATTTGCTTATTAGGTAAATTTATTCTTAAGATTTTTCCTTTGCATTTTTTTGTTGTTGGCAGTGCTGCTTTAAGTTTCAGGTATTGATTTAATACTGAAAGGTGGCATTCAAAGTTTTAAGAAATACTAAATATACCTCCTTACTGAATAAAGATTATACAATCTAACAGCATGTATACTTAACAAAATTTAATTTGGAAAACTTAAGTTATGTACTAGACAGGAAATTGTTACTGGTTATTGCAGTTATTCAGTTTGCTATCAGGCTGGCTGGTAGCAAACTAAAGAAAATTGTAGAATATTAGATTATAACAATCTATTTCTAAAAATGCTTTCTCTGTTCAAACATTTATTTGGTATTTTTATTATATATTTTATAAAAATGTTAATGCATATTATGAATTTAATTCTTACAAAAAATTTTTTTTTTGTGGAGATATTGATTAATGGATGAATTTGGATCTCTGGTTAATTTAAACTTGGTTCAAATTCTTGAAATTTTACCTATTTTTAAGGGATATTTCTTTATCGTGATCTACAATCGCCAAGCTGCCTACTTGCAAATTAAGAAAAAAAAAAAAATTAATAAAACATGTAGATGTTTGCCTGGTTATGAGCTATACCCTTCAAGTTGGCGCTTTTTTTTTTTAGTTTCTCACATGCCCCTGCCAGGAAGTTGCCAAGACTTGGCAATTATTCTGCCACAGAACACGACATTTAGATCTCTCCCATTTTTAAACCTTGTGTGTCAATTGAAATGTTTAAAAAAGTGAGAAACAAGGATGTTTTCTTCAACCTCACTTTTTCACAATTACTTTGCAAATGCAATGGATTAAAATCCAGCATGTACTTTAGAAAAAGATTCACAATAAAAGGGTAAAAAAGATTTTCTAAAAATCTTAAAATATGATTAGGTATAGCTGGAGCAGTAGATGAAATATTCAAAGGAAATCTTTATAATTGGTAAGTGAAAATGAATTGGGAAAATGCAAAAATGACGGCACATAGCTGACACAAAAACCTGTTTTAGTTTAATGCATTTCTCGGTTACCCTAGATTTCAAAAAATGTTTTTGATCAGAGTTCTCTCCCCCCCCCCTAATTTCTGAAAAGTTTATTTATTTATTTATTTTTTGAAATCCAATTCTTAAAAGCTATAAAGTTATTCTTGAACAATTTTATCTTGAAACCCTAATAAGAAAGGAATTAACATGTTTTTAAAGAAATTACTTGAATTATCCATTCCTAAATGAGTAGACACGTATTATGTGTGTATTGATAAGAATAAATTCTCCAAAAATAAGAAAGAACTAATAATACAATATATAGCTACAAAGCTAATACAAATATATATGTGTATATATATAATATGAAACATAAATACAAAAAAAAACTGATATTTATAAGGAAGTAGTTACTATGGTTGGACAATAGTATTGTGGTGATTGTAAGGAACCATAAATATTAAAAGAGACTTCTGGAGATATATATCAGAAAATGATGATGAATAGAAGAAATTCAGCCAAATCTAAAATCAAAGTTTTCCTGAAGTGAAGTTATATAATTTAAAAAAAAAAAAAAGTTCAGTGCAGTTATTATTTTGACTGAATTGTTCAAAAGTAATCCATTCTTGATATCACGAAGAAAAATAAAATTCCTTCCTCCGGGTTTGTAATATCTTAGTTTGACTGTATATTAAACCAGTTAAATTATTAGTAAATGTGCCATTTATTTCAGTTTTTAATTTTCACCTGTCCTTTCCAAAATGTCAATATCCTGAATATGCTTATATTTCTGGGCCACTAGACCTGTTTTATTAATTAATAGTAAAATAGTTTTTTTTTAATTACTATTCTGAGAATATTTCTAATGATATTATCAATTTGAAATCAGTCAGTTTATCTATTCAAGTTATTAGTTATCAATCTAATCAGTTAATTTTTTTCTTCTGTTCTTTTGAATGAATGTTTGTTCTTAAATTTTAATTTATGGTTATTTCAACTTTTATAAAATTTATTTTTCAGTTCGTGGGTCAAAAGGTATAAAAATCTGCAAGTCTCCACCCTTGAATGGAGAAGATGTGTCATTTCCTAAGTATTTACAATTTCATTTATTTGTCTATTTATTTATAATATAAAAAGCCTTTTAGTTAGTAAAAAAGTGCATTGTTCATAAACTTTAGCATATTACTTAGATTCATAGCTTCACTTTTAGTCAAGCTAAATTCTATACTAATTTTTTTCCTATATAAGGAAGTTTGTATTTTACACTAGGGGAAATGTAGAAGGAGAGGGGGGAGTGAAAGATATGTGACATCAAAATATTAAAGTGTCCCTATAAATTTTTTTAAAAACAAATGTGTGCTCTTTTTGTTCTCTCTGTGTGCTTCTATTTTGATTGTGTAGCTCAAGGAAGATTCTGATTCACTTAAATGATTACAGGATTGATAGTTTTTAAGAACAGTCTGAGGGATAAGAAAGACACTTTGTATTATTTGGAGCAAGATGTTTTTTTTTCCCTCTGTCTTTTTAAATTACTTTGAACTAATAAACAGAAAGTTTATTCTTATTATGCATCAATTTTTGAGTCACAGTACTTCTTAAATTCATATATGTTAGCCAAAAAAGTTAATCTAAATTTTGTAAGTTTTGAAACCTATTTTTCAGTCTCATATGAATTTCTCCTTATCTAGTTTCTTATTTAGTGAATTGCGAGTTTAATTATTTTTATTTAATCAACACATTCATATATATTTTAGTATGCCGTTAATTGTTAAATGATCACTGTAGGTTTGTTGAAAAGATTATCTTAAATGTTCTTAAATATTTAAATTGGGAAAGAACCTTAAATATTATGTATATTGTATTTCATTTTATTTTTTTAAAATTAAGAGTATAAAGTCATTAAAAATTGGCCAAATATTTTGTTTAATTTTATTTTAAAAACCTAAGATAAATTTCTGCTGAAATAGATAGTTTTATTTTCCCAGCCCATATTGTTTTGTAAATTTTTTGTTTTCCTTTTCAGGGTGGAAAATCCCACTTGTAGAGATATGTCTTTTACCTTAGATGGAAAATTGATGTCTTGGTGTACAAGTCAAGGGTAAGACATAAAAGATTTTTTTACTCTGAATACATATTATAATAATATATTTTTGAATATCATGTATTGCATTATTGTGTGCACACACATATATATATACAGTAGGGAACCGATTATCCGGAACGTTCGGGACCATCGCTATTCCGGATAACTGATTTTTCCGGTTTTCTGAATCGCTACAAAAAGCCGTTTTTTTATTGTTAAACCCAACTAAAAAAAAAAAAAATTTGGAAATAATCTTAAAAATAAGAAAAAACGATGAAGTAGTACACTAATGATTATTTCCAAAATGATGGTAAGGTAAACATCTTTAAAAAAAGAAATAAAAATCGTAAAATCTTACGAGTAAAAAAAATTTTTTTTTTAAAAATGGCGAGAAATATTATCCAATTTTGCTCCGGTTTTTTGGTTTTCCGGTTTTCTGATTTCCGGATAACGGGTTCTGTACTGTATATTGTCGTGTTGAATAATATTCATATTTATTCAGTTAATTTCCTTTTACTTAAAAAATTCTCTATTTTAAACTCAGTAGTAGCAGATCTTTACATTTAATTTGAATAAGACTTTCCCCATTTCCTTTTACATGTTTATTTTTAACTTATTTAACCAATTGTTTCTAACAAATATTTCTCCCATGCTAAAATTTAAGCTTTCCATCTTTTAGCTAATAATTGTCTTTCAAATTCAAAATTAATCTATTAACCTGAACTACAGATAATTAACCCTTAACAATCAGTTAATTTTCAAGAAAACTGTCATAAAAGTGCCTATTTTTTTAATTTGTTGTATATTATACACATATTTGATTAGTGCTGACATCTAGTTTAAAGTAAACTAACTGTCTACAATTACCTTAAAAATATCCTGGTACTGCCATCAAGCGTGTAAAATGAGAAATAAAATGTTTTCCGGGTGAAAGAAATGAATTAGTTTTATTCTTATTGGCGAGTTACTACCGAACACTCCAGCCTGGGAATATCATAGGAGCGAGAAGGAAGGGGTTAAAACAACTCCATTTGGCATCACTGCATCATACCAATTTTCAAGGTTGTTAGCTGCTTTGAACATTTCAAATTTCATATACCTGATTTTCACTTGTAATATCAATTGGTATACACTTCACTTTTTGGCAGCTGTTTAAAAATTAAACGGAAAAATGCAACATGCATTAATTTTTATCTGTTCATAGCATTTAATGAATAGTTCGAAACTCATTTCTTACTTAATTTTCATATATATAGAGCATAATGTTTGTGGTTATGTTCCTGATACGAACTTGCAAGTCTTGACTGTGGTATGTTTACCAATTTCAATTTGCCTGTCTACTTTAAAACTCCCTTTGAAATTTTTTTTTTCATTACTAGCATTGCATATTTTGAATTAATTTATGTTGCTCAGGGTTCATAGTTTTTATTCTTCTAATAAAAAATATTTTTACCTAATTTGTCTTGAATTTTAGCTTTTCGTCCTGATTTTTGAGTATGTTCAAATCATCACATTTTCTACAAATAAAAATTATAAATTATCAATTTGAAGAATTAATAGATTTGGATTTTCGTGAGATATTTTAATAATTAAAGCTCGCAAAAATAGGAAAATTTGATTGCTCAAACTTCAAGATTTTCCACTAATTACATGGTTTTGACAGAGATTATTGAAACCCCAATTTAAAATTATTTGATTAAGGGAGACTTTAATGTGATTACAAATTTAAATTAAATATTCTTATGAAGGAGGATTAACTGATTGCTAATTGACACTAGTTATTTTTTTTAATGTAATAGTACTAAAAAAAATTTCTGTAGATTGATCTCAAATTATTATTTGTTGTTTAGTGCTCCATTAATAAAATTTTATTGTAAACTGAGAAAACATTCTGTTTTAAAAAAATAGTTGCGGAATTTAAGAGAGTGGATTTTATTATTCTTGTGCGATAAATTTTACCTTTTAAAGTAAGTGATCCTGTTTTTAGTTTTACTTTACCCTTTTTAAACGTGGTATGGAATTTGTATATTGTTTGTAAAGAATTCCTGATTTTTTCTTGATTCTTTTTGAAAAATATTGCCATATTTTCTTTAGCCCACTATTATGCCTATATTATTATTTTTTATAAGTTATTAAGTTATTTTAAATTTAATGACATTTCTGTTTCCTTAATATGTATACATTTCATTTTGAGATTTTTTGTGAAAATGATATTTATTATTAATGATGTTTTGTTTCTTTATTATTATTGCCATTTTTTTAAGAAAATAGTGGTTTACTAATAGAAGATATTTTCTTTTTTATTAAATTTTTTCCATACTCTCCTTTTAATATCTCTGTTGTTCACTGCTTTTAATGTTTGGAATTGCTCTTGAAATAATTTATATTTTTGTTATAAGTTGTTTTAAATTCAATTACACATCTGTTCTCTTGGTTTGTATGTATTCGCTTTTGCGAATGTTCCTTTGAAATGAGATTGATTGATTTTTTAAAAATTTTTTAAATCTTTATTAATAAGTGTTTGATTTAAGAAAATAATGGGTCATTTTCTCTCTCTCTCTTTCTGATCTTCTCTCTTTCAATAAATGTTTTCCTTATTTTTGTGTTTAGTACCTCTGTTGTTGAAAGCTCTAACTACCAAGCATTATTCAAAGTGGATGACCCTCGTGTTTCTCTAATTCATTTTTCTTCAAAAGGAAACTACTTGTCTACATGGACTCCGTATTCAGGTTAGACTTGTTTGTTTTTTTCCCCTTTCTTTTTTGAAAAAAAAATCTTTTTTTTGGGGGGGGGGGAATAAAACTACAGTAATATCCATGAGGATTAATTTATATTAGTTTATACTTTTAAAATGCTTGTACTCTTTAAGTATTTATAAATATTTTAAAATCTAATTTTAGTTTTTGGTCAATAGTTTAAAAATTAGTTTATATAAAAACTATTTTCTTTGATTAATAAATTTCATTAGGATATGAAATTTATTACATTTTTTTACTCCTCTTTCAATTTTTTTTTACTCTGTGTAAATAAAACTACATTAAAACCCGCAAAGATTAATTTGTATTATTTTGTGCTTCAGTTATGCTATTGCTGTTTAGTTATTTATAAATATTATATAATTTCTATTTTGTTTTTATCAATCAGAGTTTTAAAATTATTTTATGTATTTTCTATTATTTTGGATAAATTAATTTCATTGGAATATCTAACATCCTTTGGAAAATTCATTGTTAGTTCTTTGCTACAAAATAATTTTTAATTAAGCCTATATGCTAAAACGGAAACTTTAAAATTCATTTTAATTCATTGATTGTTTTACTTTATTTTTTAAAAACAACCACTTGAATTCAATTTCTTCTCAGTGAGTTATAAAATTTTCTCATAGTTTTATTCCAAATTGCTCTTTCTGTTATCATCAAAAATTTTTAAAAAGCTAACTCCATAAAATAAATTTTGGTTCTTTATGAAAAAGTGAAGTTATGAAATTTTAAATTGCAATGTTTTTTGTAGATCTTAGTACTAAGTATCTCCTTGCAAATTGGAGGGGGATTTTTTTTAAAACTTATATTATTAAAATGTAAATGCTATCATTTTTACAAAAAAAGCATTTTGTTTAATTTGGCTAGATAATTGGGTTTAAAAATAGAATAGTCAAATTCTCATGACCTTCAAGTACTAGATACTACTTGTTTTTATTTAGTTCTGTTGGGTTTTAAGTTATAAAAAAATTGCATTAATTACAAATTACGAAAGATTAGTTTTATTTTTATGTGTTCATTTATTTATTATTTTTTTTAGCTAAACAGAACCAGCAAGAAAGCTGTAATCTTCATATTTGGGATATAGCATCAGGAAAATGTATTAAATCTTTTATACAGAAAAAACAGATAGGATGGTAAGTTTCATTTTCTTCTTTTTTTTAAAGCATATTATTGAGTAAAAATTATATCTACTTCCTTCTTTCAGGAATCCCCAGTGGTCTGATGATGAATTTTTATGTGCTAGAAATGTGAATAATGAAGTTCACTTTTTTGAGAAAGCAAACTTTGGTATGTGTTGTTCCATAGTGAAATTAATAAAAATGATTATTTTTTTCCTTCAAGAGAATTGTGTTTTACTACAGTTGAGCCTTGATTCATTGTTCTTGTGCCTTTTCTTTTCTCATCTTGTTTTAGAGGTCCTGTCACAAATGCTATTCTTATAATGTTAATATTATAACATCCTTATAGATCGTTTTGAATTTCTGCACCTGTCGTTCAACTATTTTACCAGCATTAAGGAAAAAGGAATTAAAGATATTTTGTTTAAAGAGAAAAAACCTTATCTCCTAATGCTAGTGATGAAGGAAAAAATGAGGATTTGTTACAGCTTGGAGAAATGAAAGTGATCATTACTGTGTACTCATTTTTTTAAAAAATTATTATCTTATGATTAATTTCAAAAAGTATTCTTTTACAATTAAAATAATAAGATTCATTAATTCTTTTTCCATTATAACCAACGGTTTCCTGAAAAAATTTCTCTTAGTATCTTAAAGTTTAGAAACTATCTATTACTCTACTTTTCTCAAAAACATTACCTCTTAATGCTTGTAGTGAAGGAAAAAATGTGGATTTGTTACAGTTTGGGGAAATGAAAGTTATCATTACTGTCTACTCATTATTTAAAAAAAAATTTATATGTATATATTTTTCACTATAAACTTTTTTCCATTATAAAGTTTTTTCCTTTATAATGTTCCATTTAACAAAAGTTTCCTGAAAAAATTTCTTATAGTATCTTAAAGTTTAGAAACTAACGCATATTTTTACTCTACTTTCCGAACTATATTTTCTCAATTCATTATATATTTCATGTCGTAGCTGTAATCCTAATGCTCATTAAGCATTTTTTTATTTCCATAATTTATCAATTCAATAATTTCTCTTTAAATCCATTTGTGTGCAATAAAACCAGATACTTGATTTATATAATGTCTTCTTGTTCACAAGTTATTTAGGTGAAATGTTTAAACATTTTTCCTATTTGTTGTCTTGAAATCACTGCTTCATAAAGTGACCTAGCCTTTTGAGACTGTGGGTGATCATTTATAGTTGAGCAACATAAAGCTTCTGCTTTGTGTACTGTCAAGTTCAAGTTTCTGTCCTCACTGTTGCTACGTACACATCTCCTTAATGTAATGTTATTTTTGTGTTTTTATGGGTATTGAGCTGATTGTGTTTATTAAATTATTTTCATGGATAGTTTTAATCTGCTTTTATTTCTTTAATTGTATTTTCTTTTGTTTTAAAATGGTATGTTTTTTTTCAGATACCATTTCAAAGAAGATTTTCCTGCAGAAAGTAGCCTATTTTAGTTTAGCACCAGGGAACCCACCCTATCACTTGGCTTGTTTCGTACCTGGAGTAAAGGTATTTAATAATTGTGTTTAAAAATACTTGTTCTTATTTTGCAATGAAACTAAAAAAAAATATTATTTATACATCATCATTTTTAATAAGTATCAGTCAAGTATTTTCTTTTTAAAATCAATGTTTAAATTCATTTTAACTCACTTGCCTATGTATAGGGATTACACCAGCAATGAAAGTTTAGTGGTCCATTAGGACCACTTAGGTATTCATTTAGTGGTCTAAAAACTTATTATGGTAGACAAACTTGAGAAAAAATCTTACTTGGTACTTATGGTACTTACTTGGTTCTAATCTTACTTATGGTAGACAAACTTGAGAAAACAAACAATAAAAATTAATTATCTAATAATTTAATAATAATAAATAATAAAATCTATTTTAAAAGAGCAAAAAATATTATTTTATTGATGAATAATTATAGTGTCAGTACATAATTCCAAAGCACAGCACAACATGTAAATTTGAAATTACACTATTTAAATATAAAATATTTTGTATAGGCATTCGGTAATTTTTATTGAATACCAGGCATTTAAATTCCATGCTATGTGAAAGACAACAAAATTAGTACTATAATTATTTTTTTTAAATAGATGGAATTCTATACATAAGACTAATTTTCGTTATTATTCAGTAAATTCCAAACATATTTCTAAGCAACAAATTAGCCGCCCATGTGTATGATTTTTTTAGCAATGTCGCCATTCTAGCTGAATCCAACCTATGTATATAGATATTCATAGGTTTATGGGCAACCCATATATATCATCACTTTTTGTATATTACCTCCCCATATAATCTTGTAGGATATGTACCATTATCTAACGTGTCACACAAAATATGTTTTAGTGCTATGTGTATAAATCATAAATGAAAGCAAAAAATGGGTATATAATTTCGATTCTAACCCTGCCTATGTATATTGATATTCATAGGTATATGGGCTACCCATATATACATCATCACTTTTTGTATATTATCTCCCCATTTTGTGCTATGTGTGAATAAAGCATAAATAAAGGCAAAAAAATGGGTTTATAATTTCAATTGTATAAACATGAACCTTCCGCATTGTTAGACGCCTTAATAACATAAAAAGTAATGAATAAGAAAGCTTTGCATTAAGAAAAAAAGTGATTTGAGCTTGAACTAGATAGTAAAGAAGAAAGATAAGAAACAGACTTGTAGGATTTGAGTTGGAATTACAAGGTGTAAGATGTTGAAATTACATTATAATATATTTCCAAGCATTAGGAAAGAATTGGATACTATAAAAATCATTAACTAAATTATTAGAATGTTTTAAAATATGGAATGATTTATAGAAGTCAGGATCAGTAGATGAAGAGCGAAGTTGAATAATTTTAGTAAAAGAAAACTAAAACCTAATATTAGATTTCTAACTGTGTGTTGATTGATTGAAGATAGTTTAACATCCTAATTTTAGACACATCTTTTATGTTTTTTAAGCCTGAATTTAAGGGTACATTTAATTTGTCCAATGCACGTAAGATCGCACTGATACAAAATTTGATATATCAGCAATAGGTTCTTTAAGGTCGGTGAAAGTTAGTTTGCTTACATGGGGGAAAAAACGACTTTAAAGTCGAAATTATTTAAAATTTTGCCAATTTGAGGGCTGATTTTCGGATAATAGGGTAAATTGTCAGAATTGCATGCTTTATTATTGTGTGCTGGCATTTGTTAATATTGCATGCTTTTTTATTATTTTGAAATTGTTTATTCTACCTCTGTTATAGGGCCAGCCATCTTTCGTTCGATTGTTTAAATATCCAGATTTTGAAGGACCCAATTCCATAATTGCACAGAAAAGTTTTTTTAAGGCTGAAAGAACAGATTTCTATTGGAATAAAACAGGTTTGTTTGTTTAAAAACTCATTTTTGTTGTTAGAATTAAAATTTGAATCTTTGGTGTAGCAAACACCTGAGTTGAATAAGTTAAAAATGCCAATTTCAATAGATTCTTACAAACAAGGATGTTTTATTCTACAGTTGATCAAAACTTAGACGCAAAATTTTTCGATTACTGTTGTTTCTACTTATGCATTCACTTTGACAACTATCTGTAAAATTATAAATGTAAGAAAAATTTTTTTAAGAAAATAGTGGTAGAATTAAAAATTTTATATTTTAACAAATATTACAGCCTGTTCTCTTTTTTTCCTGAAGGAAAGTTTAAAATATATAACATTATTTTTATGTGGAAAATGAGAAATGTTCTTTGTTTTTATTTTCATGTTATAGTTGAGAGAAGAGCCCGACTGTTTTCTAATACCACAAGTGGTCTTTGAAATGTTTGTAAGATCACCACAGCTGTTTTTCTTCCTTTAAGCTTTAAATACTCAGATGGTCATTGAATCTCACACTAAACTCCATTTATTTAATTGCGTTTGGATTTCCAATGCATATGTATAATTTTCAATTGTAGCTAGCATACGGAAGGTTTTGTCATTTAGTTTTTAGTCAACAATTAATCAATAATTCAGCTTTATAGCAAAAGAGTTTAGACATAGCTTTCTGTTTTAGTTGTAGTATGGTTTACAATTCCTCATTAAGGCTAATTGATAATATAACTAAAAATTTAGTATACAGTGTAAAGTCGCGTATCCGGAATCGGTGGGACTTCCAGAAGTCCGTATAATAGATTTTTCCGTATAATAGACCCCCAAGGTAAACAAAGCTTAAAATGATTTAATAAACGATCTGAATCTAAGAAGCAAAAAATAAATAAACGTTATTTTTAAGGGGAACAATGTTTTAGCATTAGAATATCTAAATCAAATATAAAATATTAGAAAAAAAATATTATTGCTGAAAATATGGAAAACGAAAAAAATTTAACAGTTATGAAAATATTAATCCGCCATTTTGAACTAGAACGATTCAAGCAGGAAGGGGAAATTCATGTCATTCTGGAACAAAGCTTAAAATGATCTAAATCTAAGAAGCAAAAAATAAATAAACATTATTTTTAAGGGGAATAATGTTTTAGTATTAGAATATCTAATCAATAAAATATGAAATATTAGAAAAAAAATATTATTGCTTAAAATATAGAAAACGAAAAAAAATTGACATATGAAAATAATAATCCGCCATTTTTAACTAGAATGATTCAAGCAAGAAAGGGAAATTCCCGTCATTCATTAAGGTGGGTAGGTGGAGGAGAAAAATTCATTTCCTCCTTATTTGTGAAAGAAAATAAGTGTAAAGAGGAGATCATTTAAGTTGAGGGTGGGGAAGTAACAAATTATTGTTTTCTCTCCAATCATTGGCTATCAATCAAGCATAAAGGCGGGGCACGCTGATCGGGTTCTCTTTATTTTTTCTTCTATGACTGAAAGAATCTGCTAAAGAGAGAATGTTACCCCCTTTTTCCCCCGCCTCCTAAATATTACATGGTATGGGGAAGAACGAATGTTTTGTTTCTCAAGGACGTATATCCTTTTAGACCTATTCAAATTTTCCATTTTGACTCCCCCTCCACCTTAACGCTTGCCCCGTTTACCCTTTTCCACAGTATTTCTTCTTTCAATAAAAAGGTTCCAGGAAATGCCTCTTTTACTAGCCACCTGCATGGGAAAGGAGGGGGGGGGGGGACTCAGTTGCAGTCTTTTGAAAACAAATCTCCCTCTTTTTCCTACATTCCAAGGGAGGAGCGTCACTAACGGTCACTCAATGGACTTGGTAGAACTTCACTTCCCATTTCTGGTGATTTATGGGTTCGATGCATGAATCAGAGGTTCAGTGCAAGCTAGAAAAAAAGAAAATGTGTCAAAAGATCTTTTTTTTTTTTTTTTTAGGAAAGGGGAAGATGGAGAGATATTTGTTTATTTTGATTGTTAAAAAGTGTCCGGGAAATCGACCCTTCCGGGAAAGGGATGTCCGGATATGGGACGTTACACTGCAATACTTGTAAAACTCCCATAATCAAGGAAAGCATTTGCATCAGAAATGATTTAATTTAAATGTTATAGTTATCAATTTTCCTTTAGGAATAATAAATTATAAAAAGTTCTTTTTAAAAACGTTATCTTTTAATGTTCATGGTAGAAACATTGTGTAATTTACTTCCTGGTCAATGTCTGTTAATGGTCATCCTCTTGCTGATTGTGTGCCTTATCTTTAACACTGCACCAATAATTAGATTTTCATACATATGTTGTCTTGCTCTCCTTCTTTGAACTAAATACATAAAAATTTGTAAACTTACATGATTTAATCATTCTTAATCCTATATATCTTAGTACTTTATGCCCCACTGTGGTCACAGTTACCAGTAGATCACCAAAGTCAATCATCACTGGCAGTGCTCAGTTAAAAAGTGGGTGACCACTTTGATATGCATATGTAAGGACTGAGGGTATACATTATTGGTCCTTTTTAAATTGTTCTACTGTAAAGTGCCTGACTTTGTGTGCTGGTTGTTGGACTACTGGAAGCGGGAACCATCCCCTCAGCAAAATTTTACAATTATAATGGTATGTCTTGAGTTCATCTTCAGGGATGTTACCCAGACTGTCACTAATATCCAGTTTTGCAGCTCTAGTGTGTGAATAAAGTAATTATACCATGAAGAAGCATACACGATATCCTTAACTTTAATTTATTGACTGATTTTTTTTCCTATTTTGTAAAAAATTTAAGTTGCACTCATCAGTAAAAAAAAGTACATGGCTGTTCGTTAATATTTCATTCTTTTTGAAAGAGATTGCAAACTTCTCCTTAGTTCAGTTTTGTTCGAAAATTGTAGATAAATAAGCAAACTGAACTTCCTCATATGTCTTGCTATAATTAACATAGTTAAAATGAATAATAGGCGATGTTTCTATGAAAGCCATTGAATAGGTTCTATATTTACTGTTGTTCATATGATCTGGCTTGCCCAGTTGCTGAGTGGTAGCGCTTCATGTTGTCGTGCCACGAGTCCCTGGTTTGATCCTTGGACCGGGCAAGGTTGACTCAGCCTTTCATCCATTCAGTGGATCGATAAGTGAGTACCAAGCATGCTTGGGAACTAAGCACTGGGGATTCCGTGTTCGGCTGACCACCTGACCGGAACATCTGCTCCTGCACCCCAGAGCCCAAGGTCAAGAAAACTGAGATGGGCACAGTAGGCCTTGGCCCTCTATGGGCTGTAGCGCCGCTGAGTTTAGTTTTTTATATGATCTGGCTTGTTACTATTAAGACATACTGTTCATTTAAACGATTTAGTGAATCATGCTATTCAGTGAGTCATAGAATTGATAATAAGTATTTCACTTTTAGGAAAAGATTGCATTTTCTTAACATCTGTTGATGTAGACAAAAGTGGTGCATCTTATTACGGTGAGCTGAATCTCTATTATGCATCAGTCAAAGGTGACACAGCCAAACTTACATTAGGTATGTATTTTCATTTTTAAACAATTACAAATTATGATCATGAATTTTAATATTTTTATTTGATAGTACAGTTATTTATAATGTATAAAATACAAAAATTAAAATGATTTGAATGACGACTATTTTTTAAAAATTTCAATTGGAATTGTCAGAATTGTCTGTTTCTTCAATCTTTAAGGGAATCTATTTTTTGTTTTATAAGATTTGATATTTCTATCTGACTTTTTTAAAGTTTATTTTTATTAAGTAATTGTCAGCTGATATGTATTTATTTTTTCTAATTTGCAGTCTACTGTGTATTGGTCTGCATTACTCTGCAGACCAATGTTCAGTAATTTGTGTGTAGTCGCATACATTATTATTAATACTTCTGCATATTTACCTGATGAAAGTTATGACAGTTTTTAATTTTTAGGAAAAGATGGACCAGTTTACAGTGTTAAGTGGAACCCTAGCTCAACTGAATTTTGTGTTGTATATGGTTGTATCCTTTTTAATGAATAAATTTGTGATAGCTAAATTATAACTTTTTCTAAGAATATCTCTATAAGAATATTACTTTACAGTATCACATACAATCGAAAATTGCCGTATTTCAAGTAAAACAAGAATGTGTATCAATACTTCTCACTACTTCTTAAATGCATGTTTAAAACATTTCATAAAATAACTATTATCAATAATTTTTTTGCTGATCTATTTATTATTTTTATTTTCATGTGTACAAATTTGAATCTATGTCTATTTTAATCTTATATTCATTGCACTTATCAGTAATGTTTAATGAAATTTTGAGTAATGTCCTCAATTGACTAGTGGTGTGTTTCCACTTATTAATAAATAATGTAGTTAACCTCACTTTCAAGTTCATGCAAGCAATTTCCTCTGTATCATAATACTAGTATATCCCCTCTAGCTTATCTCTGCAAACAGAGGGCACCAAACAGAGGGCACAAGATAGAGAAAAAAAAAAACCTGCACACTTATTCGACTCTTTGGCTCTTTATCTCAAAATGAATAAATATAAAATTGTCCCAGGATTCAAACACAACCTTCAAATTATTTTACTAGTTTTTTGTCTATTTACACATCACTGATTGCATATCAGTCTAGTTTACTTATTTTTTATTTTCTCACATTGAATTATTTCAATAGATTTTCTATATTTTCTACCTATTATTAAATGTTTTAATGTGAATATATAGAGAACTTTTATTTTTTTTCTTTAGCAACTGCATTCTATATGTTGAAAACTCTTATTTGTTTCTTAAAAAATTAAATTCTGAGCATCATACTTTTGCTAATATTTGATTTTATTGTTTGAATATTTATTTGTATGTTTGATTAATTCTAATTTGTTTATATTTTTTCAACATGAACATTTGTTAGTTTTTCCTTAACATATTTTAGATATGCCTGCCAAGGCAACAATATATAATTTAAAATGTGAGCCTGTGTTTGACTTCGGCGCAGGGCCAAGAAATGAAGTTGCATACTCTCCCTTAGGAGACAATATCCTTTCAGTGACAAATCAAATCAATACAAATAATTCAATTTATATCTCTCTCTTTATATATATATACATATGTTACAGTTAAAGTAATAAATCTGGCTATAATAATAATAATCAGTGATTATTAATATAATTAAAACCACATATTTTGGTAACTTTGATAAATTATGCGTATTACTCACATTATTAACAATTTGCCAATGAAGTTTTATCAGTGTTATTAATGAGACATAATTTATTGAAACTTCAACTCTAACATAATTTTTCTCGGAGTGCTGTGATTATAAATCTGTCATAGTAGAAATAAATAATAATAAAAAAAATAAATAAAGGATTACATGGAATACAGATTTTTGTTTAGGCAGACTTATGTTTTAATTTAAAATGATAGCTTCGGAAGTTCAATAATTTTTTTAAAATCTTTATTTTTTTAAATATCTTTTGATGAATGATAATTTTTGAAATCTTGAATTCATAATTTTTAATATCGTTGTACAAATACAGATTCTATAAATTGTATAAAATTGGAGACTTCTTAAGGGATTGGAGACTCATTTTTCAGATACTGGATATTTAATAAGAATTCATATAATTTCAGAAAAAGAAAAGTTTATTATATATATTTTTTTGGAATATTGATTAAAAAAAGAAATTAAGCTCATTTTTCTAAACAATACACACTTTTTAAGTTAAGCAGTATTATAAGTATTTAGTAATCATTTGTAGAATTAATTTCTTTGATATTATGTGAACTCGATCATGCCCTTTAAATAAAGTAGGATGTATATTTCAATTTCTAGTGAATGAATATTTTTTATTGATAATTTCTTTTTTAGTTACAAAAATTGTCATATTTTATCAAAAGGCAAATTTTAAATTAAAATGTTTTTACATTTCCACCTAGTTGTCTATTTTTTTTAATCAGATAATCGCTAGTAATAATAATAAAAAAATTTACCCTTTCAAGTGTATTCAAAATGCTTTAAAAATATTAATTATTTTTTTAATTTTTTGTGATTAATACACTGCATTCATTGAAATTAGTTTATGACTTACAAAAAATACAGAATATTTAACAATGATCAAAAATCTCCATTAATTATACTTAGTCAATTGTTATAATTCAAACTCATATTATTTCGAATGGATTTAGCCTTATAATAATACTTGCAATAAAATAGAAATTGGAATATAAATAAATATCTACTTAAATTTTATTCTTAATTTGTATTAAGATTATCTCTTTCTGGCTTTGGTAATCTTAATGGTTGGATTGAAGTGTGGGATTTAAAAATGAAGAAACAAATTTCTAAATTTCAAGCCCAAGATTCAACTTTAATTGAATGGAGTTATGATGGAGAATTTATATTAACTGCTACCACATCTCCTAGATTGAGAATAGGAAATGGGTAAGTAGATAAAATATGTTTATTTTGAATACAACGATCCATTTTAAATTCTATTCCATGAATTTTTTAAAATAGCTTATTATACTATTTTATCTACAACGACATAGCTGAGAAATGACTTTTTATACTACATTGTGCAGCCTTTTAATTTCTGTATCTAATGAAGTTAGAACTAGCAGCGTGCCGGGATAGCCTGGTTGGTAGGGCGCTGGGCCCATGTCCGAGAGTTCATGGGTTCGAACCCCGTTGGCCGAAGACTCTCCATGTAGTTGGTGACTAATGCACGTTAAAATTCTGTCAAGTTGCAAAGTCCTCCATGTTCCCGTAACAAATTAATACCTTTGGGGGTACTGGATTGGAGATCGAACATTCTCTGATTCAGGTCAAAATTACGAGCTGTGGATGAATGAATGGATGTATGAATGGGTCCGCCTTATAAACAGGTGTGACGTATGGTGTGGCCAAGTCGAATTCTTGGCCATAAATGGCACCACTGAAAAGCAAGAATCAGACACTCAGCCTTAAATTTGCTCGGTTTCACCAAGCAGGCTTGCCCGTGTGGCAAGTGGCATTGGAACCAACCAACCAACAACTAGCATCTCTATAATTGGCTGTATGGGAACGATATTGGAATAAGTTACTGTGCTTAGAAAAATTTCCCATTAATCTCATTTTCTTATTCTGAATCAAAATCACATGAACTGTATTCAGATATGTTTTATTTAATTTTTTTTTATCAGCCAAAGGACACATCAACGATACCCAATTGTGGTAAATTATCGATGAACTAATTCAGCTGTTTAAGTGTAAAAATGTATCTTTAATTTTTGTTAGTTTGCGAAATTTTCTTCCTGTAATAACTTTTTGGTAAGAAGACAAATGTTTTATCAAAAAATATTTCTCATATAATGCCATTCATAAATTAATAAATGCCAAGTAAAGCTATCATAATTTTTAAAATCTAATTATTTCTCAGAATATATGGTTATTTACAATTATTTTTACACATGATAGTTACTTTGAATTGTTAAGATAAATTTCAAAGCAAGAAAAAAGAATTCCTATAATTTTGAGATTCTGAATCACTCCATATGTTTGTAAATCATTCTATAAGTTAGAGAGGAAATTTTTGTTTTGTTACCTTTTTTAAAATTGTAGCTCTAGTTATCACAGATTGTTACTTATATGCTGTATCTTTCTGACAATGTTCAATCCTTGGATTTTAAGTGAAATTAACCTGCACTTTTGCTTCATAAACAGAAACATTATCCATATGTTGCCTTGTTTAAATTTTATCCTGGTATATGATCAGACTACAACTAGACAAATTTTATGTTAGCAGTATCATCAGTAGAGCCCAGAATAGGAACAGCCTGCAAACTGAACTTATCGTTCTTTATCAAAATAATTTTAGTTATAGATTCATTAAAATTATATCATATCAATTATCTCAACTTTAATTTTGCCTTTTTAGTAACACTCTGTGAAAAATCATAGCATTAAGCATAATTGATATTAGTATTGTTATAACTTTATCATTCTATTTTAAAAAATTCTTGAATTTTTTTCTATTTAGCTACCGTGTATGGCATTATACTAGCAGTCTGCAACAAGAGATATTTTTAGATGCTAATGATGAATTGTATGATATTCGATGGGTGCCAGTTCCTGAAGGAAAGTTTAAAGCTAAGCCCACAAAATTGACACCTGTACCTGGTATCCAATCAGCCTCTCCTCAAAGTAAGATTAATTTTTTTTAAAACTGTTATTGCATTCTGCAGTTTGATGTGTTTTGACTTATTTTTCAATGGATGTTTCAGTATCAAAAGAAGTGTACAGGCCACCTGGTGCACAAGGTAAACAGGCAAGTTTTAAACTTCATGATGAAGAAGATTCTAAAACTTCTACAAATGGTTAGTAACTTCTGTTTTTCCTTTAATTTCTTAATATATTTGAAGGGTTGGAATCCTGTTTAGAGGTTAAATTTAGAAATTCTGTTTGGAGAATAGAGTGGTGCTGACATTGTTTACACGTGCACATTTTATGTATTATGTTTCATTAAAAAAAAGAATTATTCAAGAATTTGGAAAGTTTTTACCTGATTAAAATAATTTTTTTTGTAAGTATAGATAAAGAAAATTCACCTTTGATAGTGTAAAAACAAAAGACAAGATCCTAGTAAATTCACAGCCTCTACAAAATTAAATATTTGTGGAATAACAGGTATCAATAAAGTGCAAATCAACTTTATAGAAAGCATAAATAAGCAGGAAAAAGCCTTATTTTTCATCACTCTCAAAAATGTGGTACTAATAGCTGTTGTAATGAATTTATCAAAGAGTGTATAGTGTAGTGGTATAGGTTACCCGCTGATTAGAAAGTAAAGGTGGTTTGTGCACTAAGCTAACCACATTGCCATCATTATGCTGGCTGTAAGTTATGAAATCGTAAAAGCTTAGCATTTCAGCCTCTAGCTGAATTACTACACCTTCTAGCTGGAAAAAACTGGCTTTTGCAAAGATTTTCTTTTCTCTCTTTTTTTTTTTGTATATAGTTAGTACTCAATTCTAATTATAATTAGATGCATGCAATTAACTTTGGATCTTGTTTATGCAAACTTGATTTTAAATGTATGATTTTACAATACAGTGATTTTTTGGTGATGGTCAAGTGTACATTTTTAATTACAGATCCAACAAGTCTCATTTTATAATTTTTGAGGCGCACTTACTTTAAAGTTATTTACTTTTGTTTTTTAGATCCATCTGGTGGCATGTCAAAGAATAAGAAGAAAAATCTAGCTAGAAAAGCCAAAAAGGAGAACGAAAAATCAGTATGCTGGTTAATTATTTTTTTTCGCAAAATATTATGGATAATATAGTTTTGATTTTTTATCTTTATTAAAAATTTCTAATACCTTTTGGATTAAAGCATTGTCAATTTTGTTGATTTACACATATTTGTAACAGCTACTAATGAACTATGAATTCAAATATTTTATTGATTAGAACCTTTTCTTAAGACCTATCATTTGATGCATCCAATATTGTCTAAATACAGGATGTTTAGAAACATATGGCCAATAATTTAAGGGGTGATAGAAAACATCTAAACTAGCAATTTTCACTTAACAATGCATGGACGGATAGGACAATGCATGGGCGGACACATTATAGGTCTGTAGCACCACTCCTATATCTCTTTGGTGTTTCTTTCTTTCATGTGACACAGTTTCAGTGGATCACCACTTGCTCCCCACCTATGTATTGTATGATGGAGATTGCTTTTTTAGACATTTTATATAACCCCTAAAATTTTTGCCCATGAGTTTTGAAACACCCTGTATATTTGCCCTACATACTTAAATAAATGAACTTGCCTTGTTCTGTGACACTGAAAAGTAAGGAATATATATATATATATATATATAAAAATACTAAAAAAAAATTTTAGGCTTGGGAGAGCACTTGAATGAAACTTAGTTGACATATCTTTTGTATTTGTCTTTTAAGGTTACAAATGATGAGAGACTAGATGTGTCTGATAAGAATGAATCTACAAATGCCATACAGTTCACTGGTGATCCAGAGAAAGATAAGAAAATTAAATCACTTATGAAGGTGTGCCTTTTTTTTCAACTATAAGGAAAACCTGTATTTAAATGCTATTATAAAACAACTTTTTGCATTTTATCATTGACTTTTTTCTTTTTTTGTATTTAATAAGGCAGAAGAATTTTTAAACCTTCCACTGTTATTTTAAAATAATTTTACTTTTTTCCAGAAATTAGAGCAAATAGAAAAGCTAAAAAAGGATCAAGCCGCCGGTAAAAAACTAGAATTAAATCAAGTAAGTATAACAGATTTCTTAAGTTCCATATTTATGTAAATTTGTAAAGCACTTTAAAATGTAAAACTATTTTGAACAAGGTTTCATTATATTAACAACATTATGAAAATAACTTTTACTTTAAAAATGGAATTTTTATTCTTCTATATAAATTTATCTACAACAGTTTAATAAACTGATAGCAAAAAATAATCAGCAACTCCATGAGATTGTCTGCAAGTTTTTTAACATATTATATACATGACGTTTAAGCTAAAACAAAACAATTACTGTTGCACTAAGGGTGATCCACAATTTTTTAATTTATTTTAAGGGCAGACCAAGTGTAGTGATTGAAGTTTTTTAAAGTAATTAAAAAATTAGTCTGACATTCATCCACCTTTCTAACATTGAAATATGTATCGGTAAAATTCATATTCAAACAACATTCAGCTTTAATTTTAGGGCATGCCTTGGATAGGGTAAAAATTTGCCCCATTAAAGTTTCAGTTAATTTTCTTTTCAACTAACAAAACTTCTCAGCTCTTATGTTTTTGCGGCCCAACAGTTAGGCTTTCTGCCTTCTTCTAGAGATGTTGGAGAATTCAAATCCCAGCTGAAATGTTGGAATTTTATCTCTAGATTTCAGTTCGAAAAATGCGGCTATCTATTTAATATGTTTTATTTAGTTTACAATTTATTTTTAATTTAAATTAATTTCTTTAAAAACCTAAAAAAACTTAAATATTTAATTCTATTTTTCATGTAAAATATATGAATTATTTACTATGGGAGATATGCTCTATTTTATTCTTTTAATCAGTTTGTTTTAATTTATTGTTTGTTTTAATTTATTTTTTCTTTTCATTTAAATCTTATATATTTTTATAAAAATTTTGTAGTGTTAAACCCCTTGTACTTCAATCTTTTTTTTTCTTCTTTTACATGTAATTCTAATGTATTATTAACTTAATTTGTATTTTCAATGAAATTATTTTCTAGTTAAGTAAAAAATTGTTTTTTTTTAGTTCATTCCTTCTTTCTATCTTTTGTTTTAACAAGCATAACAATATACTTTTGTTTACATTTTCATTATTAAAATTAATAAAAACTTGAATTATTAATTACAAATTAAAAAATAGTCCATATATATTAATTAAATATCTTATAATATTAAAAAACAAAACAAAAAAACAGTAACACACAAACAATATAAATTGAATAAAACTGTAAATAGTTATGCACCTTTTTAGAACAAAAAATCTAGAGATAAAATTCAAACGTCCCAGCTGGGATTTAAACCCCCAATCTCTTTAGTAGAAGTCTAACTGTTGTGCATGAATACATGTTAGATGGAAAGATATGTTGGTTTAAAAGTTAAATCAATGAAACTTTAATGATGGCAACATTTTACCCAATCCAACTATACTCTTGTAAGTTATTTCTACTATCAAAAATGGAATTTTGATTAAAGTGGGTGAAATCTTTAAAACCTGTCTACCTTGAATGTTGAAATAAGTCAAATTTGTTTACAAATATTATTAAAGCCATTTTAACCACTTCATAAGTTTTCATTCTTTAGAACTATAACTTTCAGGAAATTCTCTATGGTATTATGCTCGGTATTAGAATGTCACAGAATCGAGTGAATTGATGATGAATATTAAGAGTTAACTTAAACCCTTTTCTGAGTGACCCACAATGGGAAAACTATTAAAGGCTTTTGAGTTTGTATGTGTATCAAAACAAATTTTAATATTTCAAAATGCATATAATTTTAAGTTTACTATATTCAAATGTGAATTCACACTACTATAATTTTTTTTTTTAAGTATTGATCTTAAACTATGAGTTGTTCAGAGTTACTTAGATAAATTAAAAAGCAAATCTGAATTTAAAAATATATTTTATTATTCTTTTGTAGAGTTAATTATAATTTTTTTTTTATATATATATCTACTGTTCCCAAATAGGTACAGGTTAAAAAGTTTTTTGTAACCGTTATTTGACTAAAATAAAAGGCCTATTGGTTCACATTCTAGAATAGTATCATACAAGCAAGCCACTTTCGCAACAGCCAGCTGTTGGCCAATGCGGTCAAGTTAAGGCCTCTTAATTGGAGTGGCAATGTTGAACGACCATTACTTCCTAGAAAAACTCGTACCTGTTGATCTGAAGTTACGTGGGCTTCAAACTATTATTGAGGATCCAGTTCCTTAAGTTCTGTGCCATTATAAATAATGGATAACAACTGAAGTATCAAATTTGTGACCCAAATTTTTTTATTTTGTTTTATTTCAATAGTTGGAAAAAATCAAGAAAGTTGGTGAGCTAGAAGATGAACTGGAAAAACTTAGATTAGGATGACTTCTATAGAAGCCGTGATTATGCTGTTTGTGATCTTCTAATGATTGAAGAAGAACATGAGATATTTATTTTGTGTAAAAGTTCCATTGGAAGATATCTTCTTGTTTATTGAATTTCTAATCATTTTTTAGATACATCTTCAGCTTTTATATTTAATAAAGTTTTTAACAAACTGTTATTATGCATTCTTTAATACAATAAATTAAATACACCTGAATCTGTACAAAAACTTTTGGCAAGAACACTTAGAAAGTTACATTAAAATTTAAGCCTAAGAGTATAAAGTCAAAATAGGACATTTTTTTAAAATTCAGTGAATTAACTATTTTGCACCCCTTCTCACCCAAAACAGTTTGCCACTTAGGGCCATTATAGACAGGCCCCTATCTTTGCAGTTCACATTGTTTTGTGACCCACCTGCCATTTTACAGGATTCTTTCAATTGAATTAAAAGTAGACCTTCTTGAATTCTGAAATTCCATGGTAGCTCCATAAAGCACCCGAGAGAAACTTGAAAAAAGCATTCTTGGGGGATTTTCTGGCTATTTATGGGTGCATAAGAATTGTGAAACGAAAGATAAAAGGGGATGTTGGTCTCAAAATCACCTATTTCGAAAAGGATGCCTGTCAACAGCCTTTAAAAGAACATGATATAGTGGGGTTTAAGTAAATCAATTTTAAATATATTTACGCAAGCAAAAAAAAAAAATCAGATGTACAGTTTTAATAATTTGTGAAACAATAACATTAAATAAGTTTTTATTTAAAATTGTACAGTAAAAAATAATTACAAATTGTTTATGATTGGGCAGCAAGCTCAGCTTCAACCAGATTTCTATACTGTTGGAATCCTCCGGATATCGCTGAAACCGAACCATTTTTACAAATCCAAAGTTCTTGACATACCATTTCAATTAATTGTTCGTCGTGGGATACTAAAACAACACCACCCTAAAAATAAATTAATCGGAGTTTAAATTTTTAAAAAATAAACTCTACATATTATTCATCTAAATCTCTTAATGATATTTTCTTACCGTAAAATTTTGAAGAGCAATACCTAATGCTTCTACTGTTTCAACATCCAAATGATTTGTAGGTTCATCTAGCACCAGGAAATGAGGACTAAAATAAACAATATAATAGTAGAATCTTTGGATACATTTTATCTAGTTGAAATATTTACAAACGTAAATAATAATAAAAGAAAAAGTTGAAAAGCAGTATGAAAGCATCTTATGATGGAAATAAACATTCCCTACAACTTTTTGATTTTATTTACTCTTTAAAATTACTTTTACAATCTGGCAATTTGTAGTAAGGTGTTTATGATATAGCATTTTTCTAGTTTTATTTCATTTTTACTGATTTAAAGGTTATTTTCAAGAATTCAAAATTAATGGCATTAATTTTTAAGGAATCATTCATTTTGAAACGAAGAAAAATATTTTGAAATTAGTTGCAATAAAACAATGACACAAAGCTATGAACTAAAAACAAATAACATCAATTACGCAAAAGCACCAACTGCACAACTTAAATAGGATAAAAATATACTTCACAGCTGCTCCTATATGCATTTTATAAGGGATTTAGCATACTGCATCCTGTCATATTCCTCATCAATTGTAATCAATAAAAAAATATTGAAAATCTAATTGATTAATTTCTAAACTTTAGAATTATATTTGTAGCTATATCTGCTAAAATAAAAGTTACAAGTGATTTACTAGATTATGAGATTATCCTTTTAAAAAAAATATGCCCGATGTTCAGCAAGTAAAACAAAGAAGAATGTTCTTAAATATAGACTTGATTTCTAAGAAATTAATATATTATTCTTTTGATATTGTAACAACCATCACAAGTTGTAAAATTTAATTTTTAATAAATGCACTAAGAAGGAAAGCTGCAACATACTTACTGTAACATTGCCATAGCTGCAAAAGCAACCCTACTTTTTTGACCCCCAGAAAGACTAGCGACAGACTGCAGAGCTAAATCTCCAGTCACACCAAAACATCCTAACTGCCTCCTGTACTCCTCAGAAGATTTGCCTGAAATAATTAGGAATTTCTATCATTTATTCTTACAAAAAAAGATTTAAACGTAAGTCTGGATGCGTTGCCAAATTATTCAACAAAAAATAAGCACATTTTAAGAACTTTTCAAGCATTTAAAAAATATTTTTAAGCACTTTAAAAAATATTATAGTTAACCATGGTTGGAAAGTTTTTGACGATTGACGGTTTTATCTGGTTTTAACCGTCGTGTCACAAAAAAAAATATCATTGTTTTTGACAATTGCTAAAAATCATGTAAAATAAATGGCGTTTTCATATGCTACAGACTGACAATACACTGAAATAGATTGGGGTAGAATTAATTGTGAAATTGAATAGAACAATGTGAACTGTGTCTTTTTGCATAATTCGTAGCAAAAATTAACATGGTAAAGGAAAAGCCTCATATTGGAAAAGGGAAAAATTAAGCACTTTTTAAAAACACCCAATGGAAAAAGCACATTAAAGGGCACATTAAATGAACATAGCACCTTTAAGCACTATTTAAAAACGCTATGCACCCTGTAAGTAAAACTAAGCCATTTATGAAAAATACAGAAAACTTTTATCATGTTAAAGGATAAAAGCATGCTGAGAATTGAAGCAAGCAGATAAAATGGCAAAGCTTGAATATAAACCAAAATATTTCAACTAAGCAGCAATCTCTCAATATAACTAGTTAAATTTGTTAACAAAAAATATCAATAAACTTAATTGAACTGTGGTGGCTCAGGGAATAGAGTGCTTGCCTTCTAATGAGGTAAACATGGTTCAAATCTCAGCGATAGCTGGTTGATACGAATTTCGCACCGACCTATCCTTAGTGGTAGTTCTATCCTCCATGGAGGTACATTTCTCCCAATGTTTCATCCAGGAGCTTCTTCGTTTTCTGGATTGGGTTCAAAATTAAAAGGTTATGGAGTTGAACATTAGTAATCTTGAACCGAAAAATTGGGTCTGCTGTTCAACGATTGTTATAAAATAAAATATATTTTATTGGTGTACGTAGGACAGTCATATATCAAAATGAATAAATAGATAATCCCACGCATAAAATTTCTAATAATTGAATAGTAACCGGGAATAAATTTTAAAATAATAGAAATGAAAAATTAAAATATCAAGATATATTGCTGCAAATAAGTGAATGTTCCCACAATTCATCACTGTAAAAATACGCAATAATAAAATTATTTGTGGAATTTTTATAAAATGATTCATATCCCAAAAATTTAAACAGTGAATTCTGTAGGTAAGATAAAATATTTTAAACATCCGTGTATAATATATAACGGTCTTCAAGTTTATCGAACTTACATGACTTTTCATTATTAAATAAATCACAACAAGCATTTCTTAAAGAGAAATATATACAGTAAATGAATGTTTTGTCTTTAACATTCATTGAGTATTTGGATTAGTGAAAGAACTGAGTTCAGAAGATACAATTATTAAATATTGATTAAAAAAGTAAGCATAATAGAAAAACATTGCTGCATATATTTCAGGGATAAAAACTTTTCAAGAAAATGGATTTTTATTTTATTTTAACATCAATTGTAAAAAATTAAAATAACATAATGAGGAAAAAAACAAACAGATTTTTCTAATTTATTGCAATAGAAATTCATAATAATAAAAAAAAAGAATATCACACTTGCATAAGTACTAACTTAAGATCAGTATTAACTTAGTCGAACAATTAAGTATTAACTTAATTGTTCATGTGACTGTTGAGAATATTGTATGTGATAAAAGTTAGGAGGATCCGACTGATAACTCTGCTGATATTGCATTTTATAAAAAAACTGATATTGCATTTTATTAAAGTAAATATAATTTTTACTTAAAACTATGACTGTGCTAAATTTTTAAAACATAATGAAAATAAATCTATTCTTTTCATATGATGAATATTTATTACAAAGCAAAACAGTGGCACCACCCCCCCCATATCAGTGCTCATCTTAGGTATTTATTCAGCTAATGTCAAAAGTACATGATTGAATAATTAATTCTTCGTGAGTCAGTAAAAATTATCTTGTGTTCTATAGTTGGGGAGTATTGACTCACAACTATTGAAAAATATAAGATAACTATCAAAATTATTAATCCAAAGTTAAATTGGTTAGTTTCATTAGAACAGCATGTGGATTACAAGCCTTTGTAGACTAAAAATTTTTTAATCCAACTAAAAAAAATTTGAGGAAAACTCAATGTTCCATTGATAATGGACAATTACAGTCAAATTTTTTTATAATTTTAATGCATTCAGAATCCCTCAAAACTCCCAGAAAACATTTTATTACTTTTCTAAGAAGGCTATTTATTTAGTTATTTTCAATCAAAAAACGCTTACTTTCGTTTTCGCCTGAAACGGGGAGTCACGTGATTATTCACGAACTGACGTCACACGTGTCCATCTGCCGTTCACTTACAATAGCTGTGCTGTGAAAACCAATACGTTCTTGCTTTCGTTTAAATTTTCTAATTAAATCCAACCATTTTAGATGGTCTAAAGCTATCTGTATAAAAAATTGCGCCTTAATATCGCTTAATAAAAATGTGGATTTGATATAACGTATTTTTATAATGTTAAATTTCAGTGGTACCCACTGAAACATTGTTAATACTTGACGAAATTTTGTAGCTCGGAATATTTAAGATTTTTTAGTTCAATAAAAAAAGTGCATGGTATTGCTTATAAATGATGCGTTATAAATACAAAATAACTTCGTTTTTTCATTTTTAAACTATAATCTTAATTTTAATGTATACTTCAAGTTCATTTGGAAGATTTATTTTCATCTTAAGTGAAAGAAATGTTGGATCAATTTCTTATGTAGAATAAATAGTTTTAGATTTTAAAATGTAGGACAGCTTAAGTTATTGATAATTTTTATCTATTTATTCTAGCGTGAATTCAAAGCATGTAATTGTATTCATAGCAGTAGCCTCTTAAAAAACTTGTGATCCCAGCAAAACTTTAAATTCATATATATTGTATATATATATATATATTTCTGCAGATTTTATTAACTTTACTTTAATTGCCTTAATCTATGTTATAAGAGTATTTGAAATCAAGCATATGCATTTATTTAGTTCTTTATTGCAGAAATAGGAATAAAATTTTATAAATGCATATAAAAATAATTTTTCGCCATAGCAAAGTTCCTATTTACTCAAAGAATAAAAATATTGAGAAAAAATATCAACATTACTGTTTATTTTTTAATTATTTAATAAATAATAAAGAATGTGCATTAGAATTTCTTTCCATTTTGTATAAGTTAATTTTTTATTTTTGTTCTCTAGCTTTAGTGAAACAAAAACTTCCAGCTTAATGATATTCGCTGAAATTTTGTGGATAAATAAGTTAATTAGATATGGATAAATGAGAAATTAAGTGAAATTTTAAGTATAACTAGATTATGGTGATGATGATGGTCAGATATATTTCAATGGACTAGATTCTTGAAAGTGTTGATACGTTTTCGGCTATACCGTATGCATAACCTGAGATTTTTTTAAAACTATTTTATTAAATTTTTTTTAATTAAAAATGTATAATGTATTAATTTTACTATTTTAGAATTCTTCATTACAAGCACTGACAAATAGCTTGCAAAAATAAGGAGAGAAATTAACAATAACCATACTTTATAAATACTATATTGCCGAAAAAGGAATTAAAATTTATAAATTTAAAAATAAAAATAATTTTGAACTGTAACGGAATTCCTATTTAAGCTAGGAATAATAAATATAAGCGTTAATGTGTATTTAAATATTTAATGCATAGTGAAACAAAAAAAAAGATAACATAAACTGCATTAGTAAATATTTACTTAAAAAGAAAATCCTTCAACTCTAGTAATAAATAAATAAATTAAAGAAGCAACATTAAATTACATTATTTGAATTTTTGATCATTAGCACATAGATTGTAACGATGATGGACTGATATTTTTCAATGGACTAGATTTATGAAAATACTGATTTGTTTTAATGCAATAACGAATTATAAAATCATCCATCCTATATCAAAATGTATAAAATTTCTATCCAATCTGCGACTTATTTTAATTAAGTAATTAGGTTGTAATGAAGCATTAATTTAATTTAAAAGTAAGTGGAATGAAATAGTATTTTCTATGAACTTTAACACTACTGATTTCAGCCGAAAAGAAATGTTGATTCGCTGTAAAGAGCTACATAATCATTTCTTCAGATATTTTAATGATAAATAACAACGTTTGAAGTTTTAAAATCTTTCTTTCATTTTGCACACACTCTCAGAACCGTAAATTTAATTCACAAAATTTTTACTGATAATTTACAAAGGATGTTCATACGATATACGTGATATCAAAACTAAAAGAGCATTGAAATAGCCTTAGCGGATGGAGACGGCACGTTTCCCTTCGGCACATTTGACGTCATAACCAATCAGGGGTCGTTTTTGATTGCATCACTTACGGAGGCCTTTTGGGGCAATTTAAATGTTTAATAACTAAATAAATTAACATTTGCCGCAAAAAGCAATCAGATTTTCGGTTTCAGGGGAGAATTTCCAATAAGTTAGGTATGGAAATAAAAAAATTTATGATGTGCTGTAATTGTCCATTTATGTTGGTATTATAGATGAAAAAAATCTGTTTCTCTTATTTCTCGCAAAACCTTGATTTTAGGAGATAAAGCGTTTGACATTATGGGGACAGATCTATAAACATAACACACCTGGGAATTTTTTAGCAAGAAGTTCTAAAGAGCTGACATTCATATCTAATTGGTCAACATGGTGTTGAGTGAAATATCCCAGAACTAAATTCCTGTGAGAATGTCGAATTCCTTTTGTAGGTTCCAAGTCGCCGATTAATAGTTTCAGCAGAGTTGTTTTACCTGAACCATTATCACCAACCTAAAAAATTAAAGTTATATATGTAACTATACAAATGAAAATCTAAACCACATTCTTATATACTGAACAATAATGAATGACATACTATGCAGATTCTGGATCCCATATTGGCCGAGAGGTTGATGTCACACAGTATTGGTTTAGATGGGGAGTATGAAAATGATACTTCATCTAACTGAAGAACTGGGGGCTGTAAAAATTCTGGGAGGGGAAATTTTAAAGTCACAGATGCTTCCTTCTCTACTGGTTTTAATTTAGGTCTGAAAAGGTTTAAAAAATTTAATACCAGTTTCATTTTATACAAGAAACGTTCTTTACTATAAAAAAAATAATGATTATTTTTATAACAAATTACAATACAGAATTCTTAAAGAAATAAAAATTCTATTTCAATGACACCATAAAAATTCATGTATCACAATTAAAACTTTCTTTTACGCATATACAATTCATAGGCAATTTTCCGGCACATATGAGGTCTACAACTAATTGCAGGAATTTATATGATCTCACATGCTTTAGGAGTTAAGGATTGCAACTTCCTATTAATCAGGCTTTTTTAATTCATAGACAACATAATAGTTGAAATAGTTTTCAGTTTTAACGTCTGTGAAATTAATTCTGCAAAATTTATGCCTCTCTATCTGGACAATATAGGAACATTCAAACAAAATAACTCGAAAGAAAATGGAATACATTTAAATTCTTTGTTGTAATAGTTAATTCTACTGTTAAATTCTTTGTTGTATTTAATTTAGTAAATAAAATGTAATGCTTTATATGAATATGTTTTCAAGAGCTATTTCTGCTATAATATATTATTGTAAAAAATAATACATTATAATACTAATATCCTTCACAACAAAGACATAGCAGAGTTTCTTAGTCAATAACCTAAAATTTTTAAATAAAATTTTTTATTTCTATGAAAGAAATGTAATAACTTTATAGTAAAAAAAGGAGTGGATGTCACAAAATAAAAACAATAAAAAACAATACAATAAAAATCAATTCAATCAATACAAATGTACAATATAAATCATTTAAATTTACAGAAAACAATTTAATTTTTTAAATTGAATGTTGTAACCAATATTTTTTCATTTACTAAGAAACATAACCACTGGCAAAAAATACTCACAATTTTTCTAACATCTTTATCTTACTTTGCACCAAGGATGCTCGTTTTGCGTTATAACGAAACTTATCAATAAATACCTGAAATAAAAAATTAGATTAAGAATGATATGAATGAAAATATAAGTTTAGAAATAAATGAAGAAGTCTACTAAAATAGTATTAGACGCAATTAGAATAACAAGTTAGCACAGACAATGTTGTTGTTTTTGTTTTTTAACCTTTGGATTATAAATCAAATTATGAAATGGGAATTACAACAGCTAAGTTTCAGCAAAAGTTTTAATGTTGCATAATGCAACATGGGGTTTTGCAAAAATGAGCTCAGCCAGGGAAAAAAAAATTCAATGAAAGACACACATCACATTGTAGACTTTTTTCGCATAGCTGCATAGATTTGATACACTATGTAATAGCTGCACTTATAAAATCATAGATTCAGAAAATCATCAACTTTCTTAAATTAATTAAAACTAAAAATGCTATATTCTTTTAGATGACGTAAATATGATTCAAAACTGTTTAAGAGTCTTTAAACAGGGAACTACTGCATTATGTACAAGTTAGGAAAAATTAGGCTGTAATTGCAGCAGCCAACAAAATTCATTGCTGATAACCAATGCCACCTTATGTTTGCTGCTTCATCTCTTTAAATCAACATTTTCATTAATCTAACTTTATGGGCTATGTGGACAGTAATGAATAAATAACAAAAATAAAGAGACTTCTAATCAGAGTAAAATGCCTTTCGGTTATCCAAAAATTTCTATAAGACGTATACTAAGCAAAAATGCTTCATTTCTGTACTCTTTCCTTGTTTTATAACTTATGCATAATCTTAAACTCTATCAGGATCATTTATACATATGGATGCGACACTCTTTCACGACCCATGTATCATATATAAGACGAGCCTTTCCCACTCCAGTAGCCCCTAAATTCAATCAACTTAATTTCAATTTGGAAAGCTTTATTTTGATTTATATCAGACACAACATGAAAGTTTAAATTTGTAATAATTTTGAATAATGCCTCACATTCATTGACCTTCAATATGTGCTTTCGGTTCTGATTTATTTTTTAAATTTCATTTGGGATATTTAAACTTGTAAACAACTGCACAGGTTTGACTCTTTGAACATGATTGGGCACGTAAGTTACAGCACTCAGGGTTTTAGTAAATATTTTGACAGAGGGGGAATTTCAGTGCATTTAAGTATAGCAATGATTTTAAGATTAATTCTTAAATGAAATTAAGCTTAATATGAACAACCGCCGAGTCATGTGCATATACTATTTCTCCTTCTGGCAGTCCTTAACCGGTTAAATTTGATTATTTTTTTAATGTATCATCTCAATAGACAGAATAGCTAAAAAGGTTATATTTATTTAGACTTAAGATATATATCATATACTAATGATGCAAAAATATAACAGTAAAAGTAACAAAGAAATATTACTTGGACATGAGCCCTATACGAGGCTTGAGCTTCATATTCTCTTTGTTGATTTTTCAACTTCTCCGTCATTATCTTGATAAAAACAGAATAATTTCCTCGATATGCCTCAATCTGTTGTGAATGGAAATGTAGGATATCTGTAGACACAGTGTCCAGAAATCTTCGGTCGTGAGAAACTACCAAAAGAGTGGATTCCCAAGTCTAATGAAAAGAACAAGTTGATTACTTTTTTTACACAACAGGTTTTTTCAGGAAACAGTATTAACTTTTAAACATAGCATAAAACAGAAGAAAAAAAATGAAGTAGATTTTATAGACTAGATTTTATGCCAACTCTTGTGCAATATTTAAAATATTCCATGCATAAAGAGTGTAAAGACTTTTATAAATAATGAAATATAAAACTTATAATACACTAAAAACTGCAAATTTAAATTAGAAGCAATATGTGTGTTTATATATTTCCTTTATTAAATTTACTTTATTATTACTTACTGAACATCAATTATTTACATTTTTATTTTGTTTCGGTTAAAAGAAATTTTCTTTGAAAACAATTACAGAGAAACAATTACAGATAGGTAAAAAATAACTTGGATGCATACCATTTGATTAAATATTTAGGTTTTTCAAAATTACCTCACATTTGGCTTGCAAAGATGCAAAACATGTCCTAAAATTTTTCATTAAGAATCCTAATGCAATTAGAAATATTTTGGCCCATTTTGCTCCTTGCACAAGGCTTACTTACAATGGCTTTATGAGGTTTAGCATAAACCTTGCTTCTAACAAAGAACAAAAGAAAAAATGCTTTGGATTCAAGACTGGTGAATAAGGCATTCTCATACTGGAGAGAATAAAGAAAACGTGCCTGGTACAATACCTAAGTGCTTTCAGCACTATGTTTTAGATCAGAATCTAGTCTGAAGATCAATTTTTGGTTACCAAAGAGCTCCTAGGACTTAGGAAAAATATTATATTCTTAAATAAATATGTGAAATGTAACAATAAAGATATTTGAATGTTGATTTTTCTCCCAGAAATTTCCTGGCACCTCGTATAAAATTTTCTTATTCAAATTGTATAATTTTTTAAAGCTATTTTTCTGGCAACACAGTGTGGAAGACAGAATGAATGAATATTCAAAGTTTTTCCATCACACATATTCTAAGATGAATTTAAGAAAATGGCACTTGATATAAAAAATAAATGGGGAACATATATTAAAAAATTTATCAGTGCTGTCAAATCAAACTAATTATTAATATAAAAAATAAATCAAAGCACACTTATGAATTAAAAATAATATAAGTTGAAAAATGGAAAAAATAAACTTCTAACTTAATGCATATTCACACACGTAATAAATTACACTTGTCGAATTTCATCTTATTTACAGATTTCTTTTATAATAGATAATTTTTTTAAATTATTATTTTTAAATATTGCCAACTGCAAAGCTAAACCTTTCAAATTTTTTTAAGCTTCTTTTCCCCCTTACAGATTTCAGATTAAAACAAGTGACTGCAATGAAAAAGCTCATTATTACAAGAGAAACATTTTTCTCATACAAAATAAATATCCTTAATAATACAATACAAAATAAATATCTTTAAATATCATAATAAAATAAATATCTTTAAAAAGTTGAACATAATGAGAAATAATTTTGTTTAACTCATGCCGCACTAGATACAATTATTTAACACTAATAAGAGATATTAACCTCATACAGAGATAGAACATATAAAAGATATGCCAATGAATTCTTATGGATTAACCCCAGTCATGTATGAGTGTATATTTTAATTCTAATATTGAAATAATGTATTTTACCTGTAAATAGTTTTCCAACCATATAATTGCTTTCATATCCAACATGTTAGTGGGTTCTATGAGAATAGTTTAAAATTAAACAATGGCAATAATATTGAAAGAGACTTATAAACAAATTATCATATATTGTAAAGCTACATAAATATAATATTTTTTTTAAAAAAAAATTATATTGTTTGACTTACCATCAAGTAGTAACAAATCAGGTCTGAAAAATAATTGAAAACAGAAATAAATACATTTTATAGGAGCTGAATATTTCAACAGTTCCTTCAATATATGTAATTTAAAATCAAGTGTCTATGTCCACTCCACATAAATTTAAAGCTTAATAGAATAAAACTATTATAATATGTAAGGCAGTATTAAAATCAATTTGGTGCAAATTTTGATGATAAGTATTAATAGATAAAACATAAAATAATAAAAAAGACTTATTCATATAATTAAAAAAAATTCATGTAAAAAATGTAAATTATACTTTTTCTTAAAACAAAATAGAAAATATAACCGTTTTTTTTAAATTTTTTTTTTTGTTGTTGCTTACTTTGAAAATAAGGCTCTTGCTAAGGCAATTCTCATCCTCCAGCCACCAGAAAATTCTCTGCAAGTAAAATTATTGAAGGATAGATTTACCTTTAAGGAAAGAAAGAAACATACCAAGTAAAAAAGAAAGAAACAATATAGATGTATAGATTAAGAGTGGATTAAGTTAATCAGGGTTCGGACAGCCCTCAGAAAATTCTAAAAGTAGAGTTAACATTTTATTAAAGAAGTTACAAGTTTCCCTTCATTAGCTGTCACTTTTAGATCAAAATCTCCATACTCTATATTATTCTGAAATATTAAACATAGTGGTGAATATAAAATTATTCAATTATATTGTTATCCAAATTTTTACAACCAGTTTTTAAAATTTTTAAGGACCCTGATTAATGTATTTTAACTATTACAGTGATGTGATTAAGTTTTTTGAAGTAACAATTAACATTGATTCTTAAGCAGGTAATTTTTAATGTTTAGAATAGCAGCCTCATACTTTTGAATTAATTTTTTTTTAAATGATACTAATTTAATAAAATTTATTAATTTCCCATTTTTGCAATAAATATTATATTATTTAAAGGAAATCTTGGGTCAGAAAAAGCTTACTCAGTAACAGTTTTCGGAATAATTTTAATTAGAAGGGTTTGGAATAGGACTGAAGTAGTTTTTGAGTTTATAGTACCTGCTTCAACTTGTTTCTAGCAGCAATCACACCACTGTTATGAGAAGGAATTTATGTAGTAAGCAGAAATTCTAATTAATTTGGATTACTTTGTGGCCATTCTTTGCCATTCAGGAGAAAACCCTAATCCTGCAAGTATCACAGATGCTTTGGCTGGGGCTTTATCAGCTTCAATGTGTTGCAATTCAGCATAAACCTCCTGTAATCGTCCACTTAAACTACTGTCCTCATTAGATGGTCTAAAAGAAAGAAAAAAAAAAGACATTGTAATAACAGAACTGGGGTAAATACCAATATTTTTTGTAAACAATTTCAAACGAATACAGTAAATACAATAAAATACAGGGCTCAAAAATTATATTGCCTGATCGGGCATGTAAATATTTAATGATTGGATGGGACGGATGACTGAAACCCAAATAAGATGGAAAGAAAACAGCGCATTATATGTCAATACTGCCTTGACATTTGAGCAAAAGCGTCAAAGCACACAATAAAGTGGCTCATTAAGATCAGGAATAATAATCATGTCAAAATAATACCATGCAGGTATTCTTGAAAAACACCTCTTGCATTAACTAAATATCATAATTTTAGATTTAAGTTTTCCTCATGATGAATTAAACTCATAAAAAACAAGGAAATGTAACATTCTTTAAAAAATTTGTTTGTTGAGGATGAAAAATAATTTTTATAAATTTCAAATGAGTTGATTACATTGGGGAACAAATTTTTTGTTATTACAAATATTTAATCTTGTTTAATTTGGGTGTGGGAATTTTAAATCTGAAATAAATTTTGTTTCTAAAGCTACAGATGTTTTTTAAAATGACATTTGATATTTTTGTCGAAATGTATAGGTTTAAAAAGTATATAGATCAGGAGGTCGCAAAAAACTTGAGAGCATCATCAGGAACAAAATTGCATAGGCACCCATGCTCGGATATGTCGTCCTACACAGCTAGGGATATTTCCCTAGTTCAGAAGCACATGAAGAAATAGCTCATAGTAAGCAAGCAGCCCAAGCAGCGTATGACATTTCCTGGCATGAGTTCCTATGCATGGCATGAGTTCCTCCTGATGATGGTCCCTAACACCCAAGAAGTAGATTTGAAATCAGGGATACAGAAGTATCGAATATCTGTTATAAAATTTCATGTGCATGGGTGCCACTTAAAAAAAATTTAAAAACTGAACTTATTTTTTGTCCAATTCACATGATCTAACGTTGTTCACTAGAATTTTTAGAAATTTGCAGCTCACTGACTCAAAAATGTACTTTTTCATGATAATGGCTCTGATATTAAATCAATGATTTGATTATTTTTCGAATTTTTTCTTCATTTTATTATTTTTTTACTGCAATCAAGATAAAAATAACAACTAACTCTATACGTCTTTTTACACCAATCGCTGAATAATAAACCAAAAATTTTTTCACTAAGCTGTTCATATCTCTACTTAATTTATGTTTCACCGTTATTTTAGTCTTCTCTCTAAAAATTTGTTTTTGATATAATAAATTCTTAATTTAACTTTGATCAGCATTTTAAAACAATGGGGCAAAATGAAAACTGAAGAAAATTTAGATATAGCAATAGTACAATTTTTTTTGTAAGCAAGCAAGCACTGAGCATTGTTTAGTGACCCTCATTTTTTGCATAACTTTTACATCTTTGAATACTTGTGTAATCATACTTGCATTAATCTTATCTTTTCATTTCAGCGTGACATCATGACTTGATCATTTCGCAATAATTATGAAAAATATCTATGTTTTTAATAAAATGTATTATTTTATTTTTAACAGAAAATATTTGATAACTTATTAAGGAAAAAAAGACATTTTAAATTTAAAAAAAAAAATGGAAAAGAGATAGTAATTGATGAAACTTAGTCTACTAATTTTTCTCAAGACTGATATCAGTCCCCAGGACTGAAGAATGGCCCCCTTGCTCATGTGACAGAAAACCATATAAAAAAAATTTGTTTTCAAGAGTATTTCTTAAGAATTCAAAATTGTAGATGTAAAATTATATAGACAAATTATGTAAAAAAAAAATGAACAAATATAAACTTTACCCATTGTTATTCAATAAGTGCAATAGTTTCTTCTCTTCTTGAATCAAACCTTGTCTCTTTTCATCACATTCCAGAACACTCTCAAGGGCTATAGTTTCATCCCCTACCACTTCTTGTTCAACGTGAAGGATGGATATATGAGATGAAATTTTCAACTGTGAACTGAAATACAGTGCAACCAAGTATTATAATGCTTGCCATAGTTTTAATAACATCTAAGTACAAACAGAAGCCATATAGATCAAAATAAATAATCTTCTAATTTCATGTGAAATAGTAGTAATCTCAATCATAAAAATATAAACTAATAAATATACATTATTCTTTGAAATGATACACATTAAACATATTTGTAAAATGCCAGACATATATTTAAACTTAAAGACGCTATTAAAAAAAAAAAAAAAATTAGAACATTAATGCTTTTTCCATTATTTTCTTGTTTATATAAAGATTTTAAATGTTTGCAATCACTAATACTTGCAGAAATATATCAAGGTCAATCTTAGAAAAAGCAGAAAGTTTTGTCACTTGATATTTTTAATAAAAATTAATTAAAATGGTTTATAAAACTCATAGAATATATTGAAATTTTACATCGATGTGATGTACAGACATTCACTCTTGCCTATTTTCCAGTTTTTTTTAGACTTATTAATGGCATTAAAAAATAAGTATTAAATAGTCTCAATAAAAAAGGTTACCACACATCTATATCTCACTTATTGAAGTCATGAATGTTAACAGTTACTGATTGATATGAGTCACCGAGTGATTGAAGAGTAGTTTTTCATTCTTTTTTAACCTTATGATTAATAAAAGAAAACATTAAATAATTTAGCAATCTAAGGCTATTGATTGAGCATGTATCGAAAATACTGGATTTAAAACAAAAATCTATATATTATGAACGTAAATGCACTCAAATTAAATGCTGTATCTATTTGAAGACAGTAACAAAAATTTCCTATGAATTCTTCCAAAAGGCTACAATGCATAGTTACATTTCATAAATCTCTTCTCAATAAGTCATTTTGTTTAGAGGTATAAAAAGAAGTTTATACTCTGGGTTCAACATTAATTTTGGCAAATTTTTTTTTTTTTACCCACATGTCTGTAAACATTATAGAATTCAAACAATTAGGTAATTTTAATAAATAAAACATATCTATAGTTTAAAGTATTTCAGACTTGTTAAGCAATTTTTTAATTTAATTTAAAATGCTTTAGAGTCAGAAGTACAGAAAATCATGGGTTCATTATGTCTTGACACAAAGCACATATGTGACACTGTATTAACTTTTTGATTAGATAGAGCATTCAAATTTTAACAAAAACTATGCACTGAATGATAGCATGAGTTTTAATTGTTTCCTGATCACTATACGCAAATTTTAATGTCCTCTTATAGTCAAATAGAATTTACAGTCAATAAAAATTATTACTTTTTAACTAGTAAGAGTGATCAAATTAACAACTATATGACTGCTGATAAAGTATAACAAAACGAAGTTATATCCATATAGAATTAAAAGTCAATCAAAATTTTGCCTAGTCTCAGTGAAAGCAAACATTCATTTGAATCTGTTCCTACTTATGATATTACAAGTTATAATATATATTTCCCCATTGTTGCACATAAAATTTAGCACCATTTTATCTACTATTTGATTAAAAGACACAAATAAAAAAAAGAAATTAATCACTATAACAAAAAATTAAACAATTACATTTGTTAAGTAGAATAAAAATGAAAAACATTTCTATGTTTTCAAAGCCAAAATCAAAAATAAAAAGCGCATCTTTTTGTGTAAACTGCCATCGAAACCCCCCTCACTTCTTTCCATATTGTGAGTGTTAAATTTAAAAAAAAAAAAAAATTCACTAATAAAATTTCTGTAAATGACTCATCAATATACATACACATATATATTAACAATAATATGAAACAGAAAAATCTATAGCCAAGTCATTAATACAAGATCAACATACATTTTGTTCTTTAATTAATAGAGGCATATAGACTTCTTCTGAATACAATTCATGAATAGCATCCCCTCTAGGTAAATACAGAGATACATGATGACTAAAATAAATAAAAACACAGTTCAAGTTTGATATTTTGAACTGAACCATTTTGAACTGTTTGTAAAAATACAGTTAAAGTAAGATATTTAGAACTGTTAGTTAAAAAGTTAAAGACTGTTAGTTTAGAAAGTTAAATTATAATATTTTCACTATGAACATAATATAACAAATAGAGTCAAGTTAATACATGTTTAAATATTCAGGAGCTAGTTATTTTGAAAATTTTTTAGTAATGTATTTCTTAGTTAGGCATTCAATATCAAAAGCAAGCATGAGCAGAAACTTAAAAAATACTTTAAAAAAATTTTAAAAAAAAGAAGAGCAACGTTTTTTGCAACGTTTTATTAAAAAAATGATATATATATTTTATGTTGACCATGTCATCAAATAAAACTTCAGTTACATAGCACCAACCAAATTTGGAGATAGCTTTTCAACAGGATAATATACTAAACATAACATAATATATATAAACTTTGATACCAGAGTTTAAAAAAATATAGTGGTTTATAGTCAAAAGTCTGATCAATTTGGAATTTTCTATTCTTGAATTTAACACTACTTTAAAATTGAGCATTAATTCATATTCACTTTTAAATTGATATAATAAAAAAAAACAGTCAATTTTAATAAGAGACGCTGTTTTGGCTATCTAAGAAAGATAGAAGGTTTTGTTAAAATACTACGGAAAGCAAGTGCCTGATACCAATAGTAACAAATTTGTAGCAACTTAATTAGCAGAAAAAAAATACTGAATAGGTGTGGATCAATCACACATCATGATATACTCAAAAGTGAATTTAAAAAACAGAAAAAAATCTTGACTACAGATATTTACACTTCCATGTTTGATTAAAAAGAATCTTTTTAAAAATAAATATGAATAACACTAAAATAATGGAAGTGTTTCTTTTAATCACTTATCAGTAAATGTAAGAGAGATCAACAAAGTCCTCTGTGCATACTTGATTTCTTTTCGATTGGCTGGAAAAATAGAAGGCCAGAGGAAAACTTCCTTCAAATGGTTTGTTTTTTGGTTAATTAAGTTAATCACAACCAAACAAGTTCTTAAGTTTCAAGAATCAGCAATTGAAAAATCTTGTTAAGGGATCATTGTTCATGAAATGAAACGTAATAAAATGGCACTTTTTCAGAATTTATTTTTGAGAAGGTTTAATTTAAATAATATTAACGTAGGAAGAGAATTTTTATGAAATTGAATTTTTTGAAGAGGTCATTAAATGCCTCTATATTAGTATGCACACTTTCAATACATTATGGTCATTAATGAATATAATGGTACAGTAGAGAACCAATTAACCAGGATGCTCGGGACCATCGCTATCCCGGATGTCTGAATTTCCCGGTTTTCTGGATCGGCCAAAAGTGCCGTTAATCGATGTTTTATCAAACCCAGATTACAAAGAAAAAGTTAAACATATTTAAAAATAGGGGAAAAACAAAAAGATCTCCTAAATTAAAAAAAATGGTAGAAAAATAACATTTAAAAGGATAAAAACATTTGCAAATTTAGACTAGAAAAACAAGCTTAAAAAATACAAAATTTGCATATTTATTTTTTGATAATAATTAAAATCCCCAAATTAACTAATATAAAACAAAACCAATAATTAAAAAACGCAATATATTTCATACCTAATTATACTGGGGGGGGGGAGAAAAGAAAACTTATTAATCTAGATAAAAACAACACTTGAAAATTATGGAACTGAAATGATATTTAAAAAAGGCACAACATATTAAAACCTCGAAGAGACAGGATAGTATAAGATAAACGGAATTTAAAAAAAAAAAAAACTTAATGATAAAATTCACGAATAAAATTTATTGAGTACAAATTTATCCTAAAAGGAAAAAAAAAAAAAAAAGAA